GTTTAGAATAGTAATGCAGTGTTGAAGTGTATCGTGTTAGGGGAATGCCACGACTTTGAATGGAAGTATTCAGGAACTGTGCACATCGTAGGGAATGGTTTACGACAGGGGGAAAAATTATATTATTTGGGGGAGATTTTAACCAGATTCTGCCTGTTCTTCCAAGCAAAAGGGATGCGAATAAAATGTTTTAAAAAAGAAAGAAAGAAAATATTTTTTTTATACTATCTCAAATTTAGACCAGATGGTATTTTAGATTTAAGTATTAATTGATGAGCTTGCTCAAGCTGTCTTAATTTTAAGTCTGATGCGTCTTTGGCAAATTCTCTTATTCCTTTTAATGAATAACATTGTTAAACATTTTTAGAATGTTTTCTTGCATGAATAGTTACAGGTTTTTTTTTATATCAGGATGGCTTACATCATATATGAGGCCATTCATAGGAACACTAAGAGCATTAGTGGTTTTGTCAATGTAGTCTTTAGGACAGTTTTTGCAGGAAATTTGGTAAGTGACATTTGTAGAATCACACATTTTGTTACTATTTACGTTATAAGATTTTTAGATTGGCTGCTAGTGAAGGTTTTTGACGGGATGATTGGTTTACAAGTGGCACATTGTGGTTTGTGGAATTGATTACAGCCCAAAGGTTTTGTTGATGGTTGGGAAGGGAGAGGTAGTTTTGGTTTTTTGAAGAACGTTATGTGTAACTCTTAAGACATTATTAACTATGTAAAGGTCAGGACAGTATGGAGTCTTTGGATCTTTTTTGAAATTATATGTGTAAGGATTTTTTTTTCTTTTTATTTGACTGTTGAGTTTTTCAATATAATTTTAGTAAACACGGTTTTCAGGACTAAGGTTTTTAGCTCGGGCGATGCAAGGTTAAAAGAGGCCACTACTCTTTTAACCTTGCATCGCCCGTCCATCTACTCTTATTTAATACGAAGGCAGGTTTTTTTGTGACAATTACTCCTCCGAAACTACTGAACCGATTGACATGTTTTTGGTGTCATTTGAAAGAGCGTAACGTGAGGTTGTGCAGGAAACTTTCTTTTTAGGGAAATAGTTAGAGACTAAGGCCCTGAGCCCCTTTAAAGTTTCGTATTTTTTCATAAGATTAACATGGGAGACAAACATTGTTATGAAACTCCAGTTATTGTCAGAAATTAAAAGTGAGAAGAAGAACATATGTTAATTGTAAACAGTCAACAAGTTTGCTAACTTAACAGTTTGCTACAAATATTTACTGACTTGGTTGAAATGAAAGATTTACTATTTGAATTTGGGTTAGCGTAAATATTACAATGGAAAAAGCGAGAGAGCCTAGATAATTTGACGTACTAATAATTTATTTTTGTAAAAAAATACAACCGAGTTAAAACGCTCTAAAAAGAATGAAATAATTTCAATAAAGTAATCTTTTGTATTAGTCAAGCTTACGTAGTTTAAGTCGGCTCTATGATGATTTTTGATGCAAAATTGAAAGAGGATGTCCATATTGCAGGTGACTATCTATATCTAAAGGTGTTAATCTGCATGTCTTTTTCATAGTTATGCGTTGGGTGTTATTTTATTACCGTAACCAAAGATCGGCATTACAGTGGTATTAACGAGTATCTTTAAAAAGATTATAATGCATTTAAATGTTTCTAACTTGGAAAAGTAACGTTTTGATATTAAACCAGCTTTTCCCTATCATAATATCAAAATAAATTATTTTCCTATTCATATAGAACATTTGTGTGTGTTATTTTCATGATGCTATTCTGAAGTAAACATAAAATATAAGAAAATACTTCTTTTGATATATAAACTAAACAGTTCAGTATGTTTTTTTATATATTTATGTTATCCAGATACAATTGATTGTTTTTCAAAATACACACACAATATTTTATTTTAATCATATTTGCAGTTAGAGCCGCACCGACTTGAAATACGTGAGCTTGACTAATACAAAAGTTTACTTTATTGAAATTATTTCATTCTTTTAAGAGCGTTTTAAGTCGGTTGTTTTTTTTTTTTTTTTTTTTTGCAAAAATAAATTATTTCATGATTTTAAGTGACTGTATAATTTGTTATATATTAATTACTTGAGGTTTTTTGATAATCAAAACTGTTTCAAACAATCAAAAGTACCACAGAGCAATCATTATTTTAAAACTGCTTGAGTCACCTGTTCAGGTCACATAATCAATGGGTATTAAAATAAAAATTTGTAGATATACCTTAAAAACAAATAATTGTCCATTACATTAGGCCTAATGAAAAACTGAATGTCTTTTCTAGAGACATTGAAATGTCAGACATCATCGTTTCCTGCAATCGGTATAATTCTACATTATAAAAAGAAATAAATTAACGTCTCAAGCTTTTTGGAACAAAATAAAAGTTATTCCTCAGCTACCAGCCCTAAAAAATCTCTTAAAAGTAGAATATTGGTTGTTATCACGTATAGTACCTTTGGAAAATATATATATATATGAAAGATTGGTTCAGCTAAAAGTGGTGTAAGCCGGGTAGGTGGTTTTGTTTGCTCAAGATGTAGTCGAAATTGCAAATAGCTTCCTCTAGGACTTTCCGAGGCAGGCATTGTAGTATTTATATGATATTATATAGTAACTGAGTAGAGAATATTAATAAACATTCCACATCTGCAAATAAATGTTTAGTAATTAAAATATTTAACACTTTTTTAAGACGATTGATGAATGACGATTATGCACTCTCACACTACATAGACTGTAATGAATAATTTAAGGAATTATCTAAGGAATAATAATATGTGAATGAATAATTGCATTTAATTTATATTTAGAGCTCTTTTACGAATGCTTTGGTTCTCACAATACACCTTTATTTGTCAATATCATACAGTTATTCACTGAAACATATATGTTTTTATAAGTCAGAATATCCAATACTATAAACAGAATTACTGTATACACAAATCAGGTCAAACCTTAAAATACCTTTTTTATAGTAACCAAAACAAAATGCATGTTTTCAAAGTAATTTTTTTAGGCTCCATGGCAATAAATAGTTTATTAATCAATATGAAGCAACTGTTTCATGAAGAATTGTCTGTAGCTTCATTTAAATGGTTTCAACTAACATCTGTAGGAATGTTATTATTATTTATTGCCTTCTCTGCACAAATATAAACAAAATAATGTTAAATTTTTGTGGGTTTTCAGCATTTTTCACAAAAAAAAAAAAATATTACACTTAAACATAATATATATATGGGACCAAACTCTACTGGTTATTTTGGTGGTCGAACCACACTGATCGGTAAAAGAATCACAGAGAAATTGGTGAACATACATAGAAAAAAACAACATCGCCACAGACAAATTGAGAACCTACTCCTTTTGTTGGTAGTGGGGAAGTCGGTTAAAAAGAAAACTGAATTAACACTGTGCTACATTTCATAGTGGCCTAATCATTGAAAGAGCCGATTTGCAAACTAAGGAAACTTAGGAAAGTCATAGAACACTGCCAAGGAGAAGAAATATAATGTTTTTTTAGAATTTATAAGCGTTATTATGGCCAACCCAATGCGGCTATGAGTAAGGCTATTTATAGATAACACTAAAAAACAAGATCAGCTTTTGAAAAATTATAAGATATTTACAAAAAAAAGTTGATTATATCGATCTGTTATGTACATCTAGAGTATTTCCATAATATTTGATTCGAATCTTTTAAATTCGTCAGAAATTATTACTGTTATTAGTTTTAAAATAATGCCTGTAATACTTAGCAATTGCTCGAATTCGAGCAACATGTACACTAGTATAGACTAACTGCCCGTGCGTGGAATGTATCCAGTAATGCAAGGGGTGGATAATACAATGATGAACTGTACTGATAAAATGTTTGTGCCAGTGACCAGGATCGGAACACACGACATCGCTGCCTTGGGCCCAAAGTCCGTGACGTTACCGACTGAGCCACAGACTGACCAACCACCACCCAGCACCACTCCGGTACTGTTTCCGGTGGCTGTGTCCTGGTGTGTGTGCAACTCCGGTGTTGTTTACCACCCTGTACCAGATGGATTAGCAAAAATCAAAAATCAAAAAAACATAATTTATAAAGAAGTAAAAAAGAAAATTTTGAAAAAAAAGGAGAAGGAAATAATTTTTTGTGTACTATCTCAAATTTAGACCAGATGATGTTTCAGATTTAAGTATTAGTTAATTAGCTTGCTCAAGCTGTCTTAATTTTAAGTGCTATTTGCGTCTTTGTTCAATTTTCTTATTCATTTTAATGAATAACACTGTTGAAATTTTTGAGAATGCTCTCTCGCATGAATAGCCACAGGTTTTTGTATATCAGAATGGTTTACATCATATTAAATTATTTTTATAATTTGGTTCATTATTGTTGAGATTTTTAGGGACTTTTTCCATACATGCCACTAGTAAACATATATTACCCCTTATAGACATCCCAGAAACAAAAGAACCCTGGGCCAATTCGAGCCGCGCAGGTTTGAAGGGCACGCCACACCTACCGGTGCGAACCACGTGATCTTTTCGTTTCTGCGCAAGTTGTTTTGTTCTTGGGATGTCTATAGTCATTAGACATGTAAGCTGCTCTTTGCCATTATCCTCATACATATAATTTGTTTTCAATGCAAGTAATTTTATGTATGATTATTATTTCTTAAGAATATTATAAATCATATAGATAGTGTACGGTGTACAAGTTAATCAATATGCATTTTGATTATAAACTTCATAGTGAATTGAAAGACTTATTTCAATAGGGATATATGCAAAATGACCAATCTTATTTGCTATGGTTGGCGAATAAGATTTTAAAATAGAATGATTAAAATATCATGCTAATTATAATTAGTTGACAACAGAGAATATTCAGTTTTTGTCATGCTTTGAATGTTTGGTTTAATTTTTGTCATGTGTAATAAAATCTTAGAATGTAACTGGCATAGTGATGATTTGTAAAAAGGTTAGTGACAACTAGGTTCTTTACGAATTGCTTTATTTTTATTTACCACAGGAAGTAAGAGAACAATAGCACCCAGTATACTGTCTACAAAACTACACTAGTAATCTAATTATCCTTGTATTCAGAAGAAGTTAAATCTGACCCGAAAGTTACAGCGTTCTTGAGGTCTGAAGATAGTTTATAGGAGGAACATCAAGTTTTCCACTGCCCATAAAACCGCAATCGTCAGATCCTGTAATAGAAAAAAAAGTATAAAAATAGCTTTCGTGTAATTCCAAGTCTTTGTCATTCATATAATAATGTATATCCATTCCATCCTTATTGTCTGCTAACAGAAAAGTTTGATAGATTCGATAATGTAATAAAAAGCTAAAAACATATATCTATACACCTAATGAAAAAACAAAAACAAAACTTTATCCACAGGCAATTAAGTCAAATAAATATTCTATTTTTTTATGTACATTTTTATTATTTATCGTAAAGAACAAATTACAATTTAAAATAATAGTTGTTAGCCCAGCAACGCGCGCCGGGTAACTGCTAGTAGCAATATAAAATCATACTTAATATTTTAAATGTAAAGGTCTGTGTGTTTGTTTGAAGTTAAATCAAGCATTAACTACTTGTGAAATTGGGCTGATATGGCATTTTGATAACTCAGATTTCCTATTAACGTATAAGCATATTCTTATCCAAACAATCCTTTCGGGCTTTGCCCCAAGTAGCTTTGAAATTCACTTGTTAACCTTATCCGTATTTATATTAAAGAAAGAAATTAATGAAGGAATTAATTCAGTAGCATTACAAAGTTATAAGGTTTACCATCAGGGGGCAGCACTATTAATTTCTTTTCATTACTTTATGATAACAGCTCATTTGAACTAAGCAACCAAATGCTGTCAAACACAATAAGAACTGTCAAAGTAGGATTGTTTAGAGTTATGTTTATGTTTTTAATTTAATATTCGGCGATAAGCATTCAACAGAAACACTTGGTGTGTGTTTGAAAATGAATGGAATACGACGCAACACTAGACTATAGATAACACAAATTATTAGAAAAATATATTAAATGGACAGAGAGTGAATACACTGCAGAGCATTCAAATGGAAAAATGAGCCTGCTGGAATGAGTTGTTCTGGTGGAAAAGTTTCTTTACCTGCATTATAAGAGGCGATATAAAATAACTATACCTTGGGGAAACTGAAGAGTGGTGGCATTTTTAGTTACAAGATTTCATGTTGTAAGGTTACTCAGGCGCAGATTAAACATATTAATTGTGTTAGATGGTTTTCATTTAGTTTTAATTTAAATTTAATCGCTGTAGAATTTTCAATCGTAATTATTTTGTAATGTATACAATAAATAATGATAATAGCCTATTATTGTGATAGTTGGCGAATGCAATAGAGATATTATTTGCAAAACCCCAACATTAATATTATATTATTAATAAAAAAATTAATAAATTATTATATTATTATATTATAATACAAAATTATTACGGTATATTATTATTTGCAAAATTTGTAATAGAACTGAACTAAAGACATAGACCTCAATAAAAAGATTAAGTAAAAAAAATAATGAAACTTTCAAGCATCCAGTTGTATCATCTGTTTTGATTAAGATTGTACTAATCTGTTTATTTCTTAGGCTGTATGATGATTAAACCATCGCAGGCAAAGCCGCAGTTACAAGCTGTTATAAAAAAAAATAATATCAATATTCAACTATTACCTATTTGACCTATTTAGTTATAAACTAAATAAAAATACATTCAAATGTTTTAAACGGTTTAAACAATAGATATATTTTATTGCTATCCGTTTACTAATACATTACGTTTTTGTTCGCTGAATAAAAGGATCCATCTTAAAAAAAAATTTTCTAAAATAATAACTATAACCATTCTATTCACTCTCGATTTATTCCAAAAAATATTTAAATAGTTTCGAAAGTAAATTTAACCTTGTTAAACTCAATAAAGTAGACGACTTCCAAGAGCGTAGGATAACCTTAGCCGTAGGTTATCCCTCTAGAGGAGTAAAGCCACAACAATAAATCATATCAATTTAGCTCTTCAATACACAGGTCAAAATGCTTTAGGGTATTAAAGGTCATAGCCAGATGAGCTACCATGCATCGTCGGCAGAACGTAACAAGTACTGCTCAAAGATAATTATATAATTATTATTTTACATGAAGCACAACTTGTAGACGTAACTTCTTATAAATTGTTTGCATACAAAAAAATATGATCCTTTTACAGTGGTGGTTTTGTTTTAATTTCTGTTGTAACTTCTTTAAGATTGTACAATATTTCATTAATATCAATTTTTACTATCATATGTTTTTCTATTATTTTTGTTTTGTAAACATTCATGAAATATATTTTGTGTTGAGTTAATACTAGCTGTTACCCACCCACGGGCTCCACCCCATTTTACTACATTAGTATTAATAAAACTATTGATTGGTTAAGTTAAGATGAAATAAACAAAGCAGAATACAAACAAATAATAACAGCTGAGGTATTTTTAACATTAGGTAAATGGAAAGTTCCTTTTGGAAAGCAATTACGACCTTATAGGGCAACTTATGAAATAATGGATAATTTTGTGCAAGGTTTCTCGTCATGACGAACATTTTAAGTATATGGTTTATGGGGGTGTGACTTGTAGTTTTCTCAAAAGTTCATGGGTACTTTTGGCTTTATATATAGACTCGCCTTTGGTTCGCTGGCCCAGGCCCCCTTGCATTTGTTAATTATTTTGTAATTAATAAGAGTCATTTTAATTGGCGTCTAGTGTGAAAATCAACTAGCCACTGTAAAATTCAACACATTTACTTTTCAAAATTACATTCAATTTCTAGTTTCAAGATACATTAATATTTTATACAGTTCAAACTATAATGGATACACAACAGTTTACCTTACTTCTAAAGACATTCAATGAACAACCAAAAGCACTTGTACGTGAGATGTCAAATATGTTTCAAGCTCAAATTCAAACAATTGTTACATCAATTGGAAAACCCAGAGAAGAAAGCTGTCAATCTACAATGTCAAATGTTGCTACATTCGAAAACTTCAATGCCAAACAAGAAAAGTTTACCAGCTATTTAGAACGTTTCGAAAACTATTATACAATGAAAGGTTTGATTGATAAGAAGAAAATTGCTCAGCTCTTATGTAATTCTATAGGTAGTGAACATTATAACAACCTATCTGCATTTTTGGGCCCAGACAAGCCACTCAAATCATTAGATTATGAAACTCTGTTGAATGACTTCAAGAAACTATTGACTCCAAAGAAAAGTGTTGTTGTTCCTCAATATTATTTCTTAAATATCTTTCAAAAATAAAACCAGTCAATTTCAGAGTTTGTGGCCGACCTCAAACGTGATCTTCAAGAATGTGAATTTGCAGTTGAATGCTCCAACGATGAATGTGGAACATCTGTGTCAATTGCTGATGTTTTCTTGCGGGCACAGTTCATAAGAGGATTGAAGGACAATTGGCTTAGGGAACACCTTTTACAATCCGTTTACACAAAGTTTGATGACATTCTAGAGAAAGCTATTGCTCTTGAAGCATCAAAGGTTGAAAGCAAAGAATTTCACCAACATGCATGTTCTAACAACTTTTATATGGATTCGGCTGGAGTGAACAAAATTACAAGGTCTTCCAGACGATCCCACCAGTTCTCTAACAATCGCTCATCCAACAAGACATCTCTCAACTGGAAACAACGTTCAAATAACAAAAGACCTGACTTCAATGTCCTCGGAATAGAAGGCCTCTGTCTTAGATGTGGAAGTAACAAACACGTTGCTGCAAATTGTAACAGACACAAGTATAAACTCCAATGTGGGGAGTGTTTAAAACGAGGACATGTCTCTGCGGTCTGCATAACAACACTGATGTCAAGGACTAATAAATCAACATCAAAGTTAAATTCAACCAACAACCTACATTCAGGATCAAATGATGACAATTATTCTAGTGACGACTCTTCTGATTACGGAGTGCACAAAATTGATTCGATCTACCAGAACTTTGATGTCGTAGATTTATTTGAAGTTGGATATGATCCAGACAAGTACATTGTTTCTGTCACTATAAATGGAAGATTACAATGTTTTGAAGTTGACAGTGGGGCTAAATTTTCTCTCCTTGCGAAGAATGACTTTGAACGTCTACATCTGAACGTACCTGTAGAACCATCAAGGCTAGCTTTCCTTTCTCACTCTGGAGACATAATCAAACCAGAGGGAAAGGTATCAGTTTCTGTATCATACAAGGGTAAACAGTTCAAAGGTGACCTTCACATCGCCCTTTCAGGTCATGATGCACTTCTAGGGCGCCAATGGATCCGAGGAGGAGGAGGGTATTGAACTGTGTGAAATTGACGCTGAAATGAACCGACCAGCTACTACCCTTCAATTACAACCAGTAAATTCAGTTGAGGAACTGTTTGAAAAATTTGTGCCAATTTTCGAGCCAAAAATTGGATGCGTTCCAAACTTTACAGTATCATTACATCTTCGATCAGGAGCAAAGCCTATTTTCAATCGTGAACGGAACGTACCTCATGCTCTTTTTGATCAGGTCAACAAGGAACTAGATTTACTTAAAAATGAAGGAATCATTTCGCCTGTTACGTCAAGTGATTGGGGGTCAACACTAGTCGTGATACCTAAGGCAGATGGAAGTGTTCGTCTCTGTGGTGTGAACTACAAATGTGGTGTGAATGAACGAATAGTCCAGGCAAACCATCCTATTCGATAAATTGACGATGTACTCGATAGTTTGAGAGGATTTCGTTACTTTTGTAAACTTGATCCGTACAAAGCTTATCTGCACCACAAGGTTGACGAAGAGTCCAGTATTATCCAGACAATGTCAACACACCGTGGAACATGTCGTGTCAATCGTCTAAGTTTCGGAATAAAGACAGCACCTTCTGAATTCAACCGAATTCTTACACAAATTTTGAAGGGATTGCCTAAAACCGAGGCCTACTTTGATGACATAATTTGCCATGGCTCAACAATGGATGAGTGCAAAAGAAATCTACAGGCCTGTCTTCAACGACTTTCAGATTTTGACTTACACATAAACAAACAGAAGTGTTCATTTTTTCAAGAACAAATAGAATATCTAGGACGAGTGGTGGAGTTAAACAAAATAAAGAAATCTCCTACCAAAGTTCAAGCTGTTAAAGAAATGTCTCGTCCATCAAAAGTTGAAGAATTACGACGATTCTTAGGAATGGTTTCTTACTACTCTCGTTTCTTTCCAGATGCTTCAACTGTCACTTTTCCTTTGCGACGTTTGTTACGCAAAAATAAGAAATGGGAATGGACTCCAGAATGTGAAAAGGTTTTTCAACGAATTAAAACTGAGCTCTGCAGCAACAGGATACTCGTACCTTTCGATCCAAAACTACCGTTAGTCCTCACCACAGACGCTTCACCTACTGGACTAGCTGCAGTTCTTAGCCACTTAATAGATGGTACTGTAAGACCAATTGCTTACGCCTCACGTTCACTCACTGATGCCGAATGTAACTATAGTCAACTAGACCGGGAAGCGTTGGCCATAGTTTTTGGTGTCTCCCACTTCTATTATTACTTATTTGGGACTCAATTTCAATTTGTAACAGATAATCAGCCCATATCTAGGATCTTCAGGCATGACAAGGCTCTACCACAAATGACTTCAGCTCGTTTACTGAGATATGCATCATATCTGTCAGGTTTCAATTACAAGTTGGTGTTCAAAAAGGGGATGGAAAATAAAAAACCTGGATTGTCTTTCAAGAGCTTCTCTTACACAGACACACTTTACTAAAGACAAGAAATTTGGAAAAGAGGTACATCAAATCTGCAGCCAAGCCATTTTTCAAATTTCAAGCCATGAAATCACAGCTGAAAGTATCAAGAATGAGACAGCCAAAGATCCAGTGCTCTCTAAGATTTTGAAAGACCTACTCACCAACTCAATTGATTCTGATTTTACTTTGGTCGAAAACATTATTTTCCGGGGAGAAAGAGTTTACATTCCTTCACTACTTAGAACCAAGATTCTAAATGAACTTCACGAAAGTCATCTTGGAATCACAAAAATGAAACAGCTAGCACGGCGCTATGTTTACTGGCCAAATATTGACAAGGACATTGAACATCTTAAGAAAGGATGTGAAAATTGTGCACTAACACGGTCAAATCCGCACAAAGCTCCAAATCACCCGTGGGAAATTCCAAAAGAGAACTGGGAAAGAATACATATTGACTACGCAGGACCGTTTTAAGGCTTCAACTTCCTCGTATGTATTGATGCTAGATCAAAATGGGCGGAAATAAAAGTAATCAAAGATGCACCATCCAGCTCCAATACCATACATCTACTTGAACAGATATTCGCTACACACGGCTACCCGAATGTTATGGTATCTGACAACGCCTCAATTTTTCAAAGTGATACATTCCAAGCTTATTGCAAATTGCATGGCATTTCCCAGATATTCATATCTCCAGGACATCCAGCAACAAACGGCTTAGCAGAACGCTCTGTTCAAACATTGAAGAACCGCCTGAAGTCCACAGCTTCGGAAAACATACCAATGGCAATAAAGGTCCAGAAGATCTTAATGCGGTACCGGGCAACTCCTCTAGCATGTGGCAAATCACCGGCTGAACTTTACCTCCACAGGAAGTTAAGAATACGAATGTATGCCATTTTTCCCAACGTACAAAAAGCTTCAACTAGAAATGCTCCATCTGCACGTTCATTCAACGAGGGGGAGAGAGTTCAGGTTCGTCTCTCCATAAACAACAAGAACGTTTGGGAGTTTGAAGAAGTAAATAAAAAGTTGGGAACTCGACACTATCTAGTTTCCCTTGACATATCAGGCCGACTTGTTAAACGACACATTGATCAATTGCGGTCTACTTTGATACCAAAACCAAAAATGTTACTGCGGGACCAATCCACATATTTGATGTTCCACGGGCTTCTAAACACTGTACAAACGAAATTTTTTTACGTCTCTATAAAATATATCCATGCTTATATTTAAATAGTTCAAAAGTTGAAAAAGGTTGTTTAAGATAATAGATTATTTTAAACCTAAAAGTTAAAACATAAACCGAAAGTAGAATTTGGGTTTTTCGACTGTTTATTTAATTCACTTGATTTGTTTAAAATAATGTTCGCTACTTACCTCTTGAATTATTTTCGTACATGCCATCAAAATTCATTTTATTATTAATGTCTGTTAACAGAAACGATAAATAAATTAGAGATTGTAATAAAAATATATAAGTTTAAATTAAATGTAATATAAAATACATTTAATCAAGTTATAGAATGTTTAAAAATTTAAAATCAATGTAAGAACAATCCACAGATTGAAAACGTTTTTCAAATTTTTAGCATTGTCAAAAATCAACAATTTACTAATTGAACCAAACCAAAACCAGAATGAATAACAAAATTACCACTGAGCATTATGATTAGAAGAACACGAGAAATACTAAACTATTTTAAAGAATAGTCGCAGCTTACCTTTAAAATAATTTTCAAGTATACGCTTTAAATCCATTCCATCCAAGTCTGTTAACAGAAATATCAATCAAATTAAATATTGTAATGAAATTCCTAGGCCTAAATAAGTTTAAAAAATTTATCAATTACTGTATAGTAAATGAAGACAATATAAAGAATACTACAAATATAAAAAAAACAATATAAAATATGAAAGTAATCAAAAGATTGAAAACATTTTTTTTATTCAATATTGAGCAATTACTTATTTGTCCTACTTAAGAACAAACTAAATCAAGAAATCTCATACATATTATCTAAAGGGGTTTAAACAATTGAAATATTGTTTTGCTATCCGTTTACTAATAGGTTTACACTTCTGTAAGCTGAATAAAAGTTTCGGTTGTAAAATTAAATATAACTATAAATATTCTACACACTTTTCTTTTATTTTTAAAACAATATTTAAATAGCAAACCAAAGTAAATTAGAACATGTTTAACTCAATAAAGTCGTTGACTTCCAACAGCATAAGATAACTTTAACTTTAGGTTATCGCTATAGAAGAGTTGAGCCACATTAATTAATGAGCTCAATTTATCTATTACAAAGCTATCCAACAATTAAGGATTATTGAACTCAATTTTGATCGAATATATACGGGATTTAAGCCTGCGTATGTAGAGAGATCTCAACATTTTACTGGACTGTGTAAAGTCTTAGCCAACTTAGCTACTATGCACCATCGGCAGAACGTAACAACTACTGCTCAAAGATAATTATATAATTATTATTTTACATCAAACACAACTTGAAGACTAACTTGTTATGAATTGTTTGCATTTATTACAAAAATATATGATCTTTTTAGAGTGGTGGTTTTTTTAAAATTTCATATGCTTGTTATTTAGAGAAATAACACCACCCAAATAGGTTTTGTTATAATTGAATTTCTTACCTTTATCATTGCTAATTTTGCCTTTTACCCAATTTATTAAGCCGTCATCTTGATATTCTGTAATAAAACAATCAGAAGTCTAAGAATCAATTTCCTCACGATAAAAGCTAGTATGATTTTGATACATGTTCTTATAAATGATATTATGATTATTTTTTAAAAACATTCCAAACTTTTTTACGTCCATAAAATATAACCATGCTTATATTGAAATAGTTAAAGAGTTGAAAAAGGTTGTTTAAGATAATTGATAATTTTAAACCTAAAAATTAAAACACAAACAAAAAGTAGAATTTTGTTTTTTATCGACTTATATGTTAATTAATTTTTTTTTTATGTTCGCTGCTTATCTTTTGAATTATTTTCGTACATACCATCAACATAAATTTTATTCTTGTTGTCTGTTAACAGAAACGATTAATAAATTAGAGATTGTAATAAAAATATATAAGTTTAAATTAAATGTATAGTAAACAATATTTAATCAAGTTATAGAATGTTTGAATATTTAAAAGCAATGTAAGAACAATCCAAAGATTGAGAACGTTTTTGAAAATTTTTAGCATTGTCAAACATCAACAAATAACTAACTGACCCAAACCAAAACAAAAAAAATATACCAATGAGCATAATGATTAGAAGAAAACGAGAAATAATAAACTGTTTTTTAAAATAGTCGCAGCTTATTATTAGAATAGTTTTCAAGTATATGCTTTAAATCCTTTCCATCCTTGTCTGTTAACAGAAATGTTTAATAAATTAGATATTGTAATAAATATTACTAAATAAGTTGAAAAAATATTTTAATTATAGTAAATTAGGACAATATAAAGAATACTCAAATATTTAAAAACAATATAAAATATGAAATTAATCAAAAGATTGAAAACATTTTCTAAAATTTCAATTTTCAACAACTACTTATTTGTCCTACTTAAGAACAAACTTAATCAAGAAAACACATACCTATTATGTAAGGGGTTTAAATAATTGACATATTTTTTTGCTATCCGTTTACAGGTTTACAGTTGTGTACGCTAAATAAAAGTTTCGGTTGTAAAAATAAATATAACTATAAATATTCTACACACTTTTCTTTTATTTTTAAAACAATATTTAAATAGCAAACCAAAGTAAATTAGAACATGTTTAACTCAATAAAGTCGTTGACTTCCAACAGCATAAGATAACTTTAACTTTAGGTTATCGCTATAGAAGAGTTGAGCCACATTAATTAATGAGCTCAATTTATCTATTACAAAGCTTTCCAACAATTGAGGATTATTGAACTCAATTTCGATCGGATATCTACGGGATTTAAACCCGCGTTTGTAGAGAGATCTCAACATTTTACTGGACCGTATGAAGTTTTAGCCAACTGAGCTTCCATGCACCATCCGCAGAACGTAACAACTATAGCTCAAAGATAATTATATAATTATTATTTTACATCAATCACAACTTGTAGACGTAACTTGTTATGAATTGTTTGCATTTATTAAAAAAATATATGATCTTTCTACCATGGTGGTTTTGTTTTAATTTTATATGCTTATTATTCAGAGTAAAAAAACTACCCAAAAAGGTTTTGTTATAATTGAATTTCTTACCTTTATCATTGCTAATTTTGCCATTTATCCAATCCTTTAAACCGCCATTTTGATATCCTGTAATAAAACAATCAGAAGTCTTAGAATAACCTTTCTCACGATAGAAGCTAGCATCATTTTGATACATGTACTTATAAATGATATTATGATAATTTTTAAATCCATTCCAAACTTGTTTACGTCTATAAAATATAACCATGCTTATATTTAAATAGTTAAAAGTTGGCAAAGGTTGCTAAAGATAATTATTGATTATTTTAAACCTACAAATTAAAACATAAACCCAAAGTAGAATGTGGTTTTTATCGGATACGTTATTTAAACTTTTTTTTACATAATGTTTGCTGCTTAACTTTTGAATTATTTTCGTACATACCATCGAAATAATTTTATTCTTGTTGTCTGTTAACAGAACCGATTAATAAATTAGAGATTGTAATAAAAATATATAAGTTTAAATTTACGTATGTTAAAAAAAAATTAATCAAGTTATAGAATGTTTAAATATTTAAAAGAAATGTAAAAACAATCTACAGATTGAAAACGTTTTTGACAATTTTCTGCATTGTCAAAAATCAACAATTAACTAACTGACCCAAACCAAAACCAAAATAAATATAAAAAAAATACCACTGAGCATAATGATTAGAAGAAAACGAGAAATAATAAACTATTTTAAAGAATAGTCGCAGCTTACCTTTAAAGTAATTTTCAAGTATATGCTTTAAATCCATTCCATCCTTGTCTGTTAACAGAAATATCAATCAAATTAAATATTGTAATAAAATTACTAGGCCTAAATAAGTTAAAAAAATATATCAATTACTGTATAGTAAATTATGACAATATAAAGAACACTACAAATAAAAAAAAATATATAAAATATGAAAGTAATCAAAAGATGAAAACATTTTTTTTTAATTTCATTATTGATCAATTACTTATTTGTCCTACTTAAGAACAAACTAAATCAAGAAAACGCATACCTATTATCTAAGGGGTTTAAACAATTGAAACTTTTTTTTGCTATCCGTTTACTAATAGGTTTACAGTTTTGTAACGATGAATAAAAGTTTCTGTTGTAAAAATAAATATAACTATAGATTTTATACACACTTTTCTTTTATTTTAAAACAATATTCAAATAGTAAACCAAAGTAAATTAAAACATGTTTAAATCAATAAAGTCGTCGACTTCCAACAGCGTAATATAACTTTAACTTTAGGTTATCGCTATAGAAGAGTTGAGCCACATTAATTAATAATCTCAATTTATCTATTACAAAGCTATCCAACAATTAAGGATTATTGAACTCAATTTTGATCGAATATATACGGGATTTAAGCCCACGTATAAAGAGAGATCTCAACATTTTACTGGACTGTGTAAAGTCTCAGCCATCTGAGCTACCATGCACCATCGGTAGAACGTAACAACTACTGCTCAAAGATAATTATATAATTATTATTTTACATCAAACACAACTTGTAGACTAACTTGTAATGAATTATTTGTATTTATAAAAAAATATATGATCTTTTTTACAGTGGTGGTTTTGTTTTAATTTCATATGCTTATTATTCAGAGAAATAAAACCACCCAAATAGGTTAGTTATAATTGAATTTCTTACCTTTATCATTGCTAATTTTGCCTTTTACCCAATTTATTAAGCCGTCATCTTGATATTCTGTAATAAAACAATCAGAAGTCTAAGAATAAATTTCCTCACGATAATAGCTAGTATGATTTTGATACACGTTCTTATAAATGATATTATGATTATTTTTTTAAAACATTCCAAACTTTTTTACGTTCATAAAATATAACCATGCTTATATTGAAATAGTTCAAGAGTTGACAAAGGTTGTTTAAGATAATTGATAATTTTAAACCAAAAAATTAAAACACAAACAAAAAGTAGAATTTGGTTTTTTATCGACTGATATGTTAATTAATTTTTTTTTATGTTTGCTGCTTATCTTTTGAATTATTTTCGTACATACCAATGAGTAAAGAAAATTTAATCAAGTAATAGAGTGTTTGAATATTTAAAAGCAATGTAAGAACAATCGAAAGATTGAGAACGTTTTTTTTAATTTTTAGCATTGTCAAAAATCAACAATTAACTAACTGACCCAAAAAAAAAAAAAATACCAATGAGCATAATGATTAGAAGAAAACGAGAAATAATAAACTATTTTTTAGAATAGTTGCAGCTTATTTTTAATATAGTTTTTAGCGAATTTCCCTTATAGGGAATAAGCTATTACCGTAGGTCTCATGGTAAGATCTGCACCCGGGACCAATTTAGTTTTTCGTTTTGAGGTCCCCAGAGGCCAAAAACACCATCCGTTCAAATTCATATATATATATATATATATTTATATATATATATATATATATATATTTATATATGTGTCCGTTAGCGCGATAACTCGAGCAAAAATGGTCCGATTTTGATGAAATTTGGTATAAACATGTAAACCTACATTTATTTGAACGAGTTCGCGAACCAGCATGATCGGACTATGGGAACAGGGGTTTATGGGGGGTTTTATGGGGTAAAAGTGGGTTTTTCTAATTTTTCACCCTGAAAACATAACATTTTGCAATTTCTTTCTAAACCATTTTGTAGAGCTCAAAAAAACAAATAATTTAGTATATTGAAGCATTGTTGCATGCCTAACGGTTACGGAAAAATTGCAAAATAATGTAAATTTAAAATTACCATGTTATTCTTATGGAGAATAAATACAGTGTTTGTAGCTTGCTTGTGTATGGACATATATTAATGAAATTTTGAAATTTTGTTTACTTCATACTGAACTATTAATATCTCAATAAAAACCCCCTATTTTCTTCCCTGTAGCAGCAAACCTAAGTACTCATTAATATTAATGATGTTTAAATAGGAAATAAATCTGACAATTTTAAGGGAACAATTTAGTGGAATTCCAGCTGTGTATATGGAAATTCGCTTAGTCTGCAGGTTTGCTGCGGCGGGGGTATTAAGTATATCCTTTTAATCCATTCTATCCTTGTCTGTTAACAGAAATGTTTAATAAATTAGATATTGTAATACATATTACTAAATAAGTTGAAAAAATATTTTAATCATAGTAAATGAAGACAATATAAAGAATACTCAAATATTAAAAAAACAAACAATATAAAATATGAAAGTTATCAAAAATTGAAAACCTTTTTTAAAATTTCAATATTCAACAACGACTTATTTGTCCTACTTAAGAACAAACTAAATCAAGAAAACACATACCTATTATGTAAGGGGTTTAAATATTTGACATATTTTATGCTATCCGTTTACAGGTTTACAGTTGTGTACGCTAAATAAAAGTTTCTGTTGTAAAATAAATATAACTATAAATATTTTACTCGCTCTCCATTTATTTTTAAAACAACATCTAAATAGTAAACCAAAGTAAATTAAAACATGTTTCACTCAATAAAGTCGTCGACTTCCAAGAGCGTAAGATAACTTTAACTTAAGGTTATCCCTATAGAAGAGTTAAGCTACATCAATTAATAATCTCAATTTATCTATTACAAAGCTATCCAACACATAAGGATTGTTGAACTTAATTTTGATCGAATATCTACGGGATTTAAACCCGCGTTTGTAGAGAGATCTCAACATTTTACTGGACCGTAAAAAGTTTTAGCCAACTGAGCTTCCATGCACTATTCGCAGAACGTAACAACTATAGCTCAAAGATAATTATATAATTATTATTTTACATCAATCACAACTTGTAGACGTAAATTGTTATAAATTGTTTACATTTATTAAAAAAAATATATAATCTTTCTACAGTGGTGGTTTTGTTTTAATTTTATATGCATATTATTCAGAGTAATAAAACTACCCAAATAGGTTTTGTTATAATTGAATTTCTTACCTTTTTCATTGCTAATTTTGCCATTTATCCAATCCTTTAAACCGCCATTTTGATATCCTGTAATAAAACAATCAGAAGTCTGAGAATAACTTTCCTCACGATAGAAGGTACTATGATTTTGATACATGTTCTTATTAATGATATTATGATAATTTTTTAAATCCATTCCAAACTTTTTTACGTCTATAAAATATAACCATGCTTATATTTAAATAGTTCAAAAGTTGGCAAAGGTTGCTAAAGATAATTATTGATTATTTTAAACCTAAAAATTAAAACATAAACCCAAAGTAGAATGTGGTTTTTATCGGATACGTTATTTAAACTTTTTTTAACATAATGTTTGCTGCTTAACTTTTGAATTATTTTCGTACATACCATCAAAATAATTTTATTCTTGTTGTCTGTTAACAGAAGCGATTAATAAATTAGAGATTGTAATAAAAATATATAAGTTTAAATTAAATGTATAGTAAAGAAAATTTAATCAAGTTATAGAATGTTTGAATATTTAAAAGAACTGTAAACCCAATCTACAGATTGAAAACGTTTTTGACAATTTTTAGCATTGTCAAAAATCAACAATTAACTAATTGATACAATCAAAACCAAAATAATTTAAAAAAAAATACCACTGAGCATAATGATTAGAAGAAAACGAGAAATGATAAACTATTTTAAAGAATAGTCGCAGCTTACCTTTAAAGTAATTTTCAAGTATATGCTTTAAATCCATTCCATCCTTGTCTGTTAACAGAAATATCAATCAAATTAAATATTGTGATAAAATTACTAGGCCTAAAAGAGTTAAAAAAATATATCAATTACTGTATAGTAAATTATGACAATATAAAGAACACTACAAATTAAAAAAATATATAAAATATGAAAGTAATCAAAAGATTGAAAACATTTTTTTTTAATTTCAATATTGATCAATTACTTATTTGTCCTACTTAAGAAAAAACTAAATCAAGAAAACACATACCTATTATCTAAGGGGTTTAAACAATTGAAATATTTTTTTGCTATCCGTTTACTAATAGGTTTACAGTTTTGTACGCTGAATAAAAGTTTCTGTTGTAAAAATAAATATAACTATAAATTTTATACACACTTTTCTTTTATTTTAAAACAATATTCAAATAGTAAACCAAAGTAAATAAAAACATGTTTAACTCAATAAAGTCGTCGACTTCCAACAGCGTAATATAACTTTAACTTTAGGTTATCGCTATAGAAGAATTGAGCCACATTAATTAATAATCTCAATTTATCTATTACAAAGCTATCCAACAATTAAGGATTATTGAACTCAATTTTGATCGAATATATACGGGATTTAAGCCCGCGTATAGAGAGAGATCTCAACATTTTACTGGACTGTGTAAACTTAGCCAACTGAGCTACCATGCACCATCGGCAGAACGTAACAACTACTGCTCAAGAAAATTATATAATTATTATTTTACATCAAACACAACTTGTAGACTAACTTGTTATGAATTGTTTGCATTTATTAAAAAAATATATGATCTTTTTACAGTGGTGGTTTTTTTTAAATTTCATATGCTTATTATTTAGAGAAATAACACCACCCAAATAGGTTTTGTTATAATTGAATTTCTTACCTTTATCATTGCTTATTTTGCCTTTTACCCAATTTATTAAGCCGTCATCTTGATATTCTGTAATAAAACAATCAGAAGTCTAAGAGTAAATTTCCTCACGATAAAAGTTAGTATGATTTTGATACATGTTCTTATAAATGATATTATGATTATTTTTTTAAAACATTCCAAACTTTTTTACGTTCATAAAATATAACCATGCTTATATTGAAATAATTCAAGAGTTGACAAAGGTTGTTTAAGATAATTGATAATTTTAAACCTAAAAATTAAAACACAAACAAAAAGTAGAATTTGTTTTTTTATCGACTGATATGTTAATTATTTTTTTGTTATGTTCGCTGCTTATCTTTTGAATTATTTTCGTACATACCATCAACATTAATTTTATTCTTGTTGTCTGTTAACAGAAACGATTAATAAATTAGAGATTGTAATACAAATATATAAGTTTAAATTAAATGTATTGTAAAGAAAATTTAATCAGGTTATAGAATGTTTGAATATTTAAAAGCAATGTAAGAACAATCGAAAGATTGAGAACGTTTTTGAAAATTTTTAGCATTGTCAAACATCAACAAATAACTAACTGCCCCAAACAAAAAAAAAACAAAAAACCAATGAGCATAATGATTAAAAGAAAACGAGAAATAATAAACTATTTTTTTAAATAGTCGCAGCTTATTTTTAGAATAGTTTTCAAGTATATGCTTTAAATCCATTCCATCCTTGTCTGTTAACAGAAATGGTTAATAAATTAGATATTGTAATAAATATTACTAAATAAGTTGAAAAAATATTTTAATTATAGTAAATTAAGACAATATAAAGAATACTAAAATATTTAAAAACAATATAAAATATGAAAGTAATCAAAAGATAGAAAACATTTTCTAAAATTTCAATTTTCAACAACTACTTATTTGTCCGACTTAAGAACAAACTAAATCAAGAAAACACATACCTATTATGTAAGGGGTTTAAATAATTGACATATTTTTTGCTATCCGTTTACAGGTTTACAGTTGTGTACGCTAACTAAAAGATTCTGTTGTAAAATAAATATAACTATAAATAATTTACTCGCTCTCCATTTATTTTTAAATAACATCTAAATAGTAAACCAAAGTAAATTAAAACATGTTTCACTCAATAAAGTCGTCGACTTCCAAGAGCGTAAGATAACTTTAACTTAAGGTTATCCCTATAGAAGAGTTAAGCTACATCAATTAATAATCTCAATTTATCTACTGTATTACAAAGCTATCCAACACATAAGGATTGTTGAACTTAATTTTGATCGAATATATACGGGATTTAAACCCGCGTTTGTAGAGAGATCTCAACATTTTACTGGACCGTTTAAAGTTTTAGCCAACTGAGCTTCCATGCACCATCCGCAGAACGTAACAACTATAGCTTAAAGATAATTATATAATTATTATTTTACAACAATCACAACTTATAGACGTAACTTGTTATGAATTGTTTGCATTTATTAAAAAAATATACGATCTTTCTACAGTGGTGGTTTTGTTTTAATTTTATATGCATATTATTCAGAGTAAAAAAACTACCCAAAAAGGTTTTGTTATAATTAAATTTCTTACCTTTATCATTGCTAATTTTGCCATTTATCCAATCCTTTAAACCGCCATTTTGATATCCTGTAACAAAACAATCAGAAGTCTAAGAATAACTTTTCTCACGATAGAAGCTAGTATCATTTTGATACATGTTCTTATAAATTGATATTATGATAATTTTTAAATCCATTCCAAACTTGTTTACGTCCATAAAATATAACCATGCTTATATTTAAATAGTTCAAAAGTTGGCAATGGTTGCTAAAGATAATTATTGATTATTTTAAACCTAAAAATTAAAACATAAACCCAAAGTAGAATGTGGTTTTTATCGGATACGTTATTTAAACTTTTTTACATAATGTTTGCTGCTTAACTTTTGAATTATTTTCGTACATACCATCAAAATAATTTTATTCTTGTTGACTGTTAACAGAAGCGATTAATAAATTAGAGATTGTAATAAAAATATATAAGTTTAAATTAAATGTATAGTAAAGAAAATTTAATCAAGTTATAGAATGTTTGAATATTTAAAAGAAATGTAAAAACAATCTACAGATTGAAAACGTTTTTGACCATTTTCAGCATTGTCAAAAAATCAACAATTAACTAACTGACCCAAACCAAAACCAAAATAAATATAAAAAAATACCACTGAGCATAATGATTAGAAAAAACGAGAAATAATAAACTATTTTAAAGAATAGTCGCAGCTTACCTTTAAAGTAATTTTCAAGTATATGCTTTAAATCCATTCCATCCTTGTCTGTTAACAGAAATATCAATCAAATTATATATTGATATAAAAATACTAGGCCTAAATAAGTTAAAAGAATATATCAATTACTGTATAATAAATTATGACAATATAAAGAACAAACACTACAAATAAAAAAAATATATAAAATATGAAAGTAATCAAAAGATTGAAAACATTTTTTTAAATTTCAATATTGATCAATTACTTATTTGTCCTACTTAAGAACAAACTAAATCAAGAAAACACATACCTATTATCAAAGGGGTTTAAACAATTGAAATATTTTTTTGCTATCCGTTTACTAATAGGTTTACAGTTTTGTACGCTGAATAAAAGTTTCTGTTGTAAAAAGAAATATAACTATAAATTTTATACACACTTTTCTTTTATTTTTTAAACAATATTCAAATAGTAAACCAAAGTAAATTAAAACATGTTTAACTCAATAAAGTCGTCGACTTCCAACAGCGTAAGATAACTTTAACTTTAGTTTATCGCTATAGAAGAGTTGAGCCACATTAATTAATAATCGCAATTTATCTATTACAAAGCTATCCAACAATTAAGGATTATTGAACTCAATTTTGATCGAATATATACGGGATTTAAGCCCACGTATAAAGAGAGATCTCAACATTTTACTGGACTGTGTAAACTTAGCCAACTGAGCTACCATGCACCATCGGCAGAACGTAACAACTACTGCTCAAAGAAAATTATATAATTATTATTTTACATCAAACACAACTTGTAGACTAACTTGTTATGAATTGTTTGCGTTTATTAAATAATATATGATCTTTTTACAGTGGTGGTTTTTTTTTTTAATTTCATATGCTTATTATATAGAGAAATACCACCACCCAAATAGGTTTTGTTATAATTGAATTTCTTACCTTTATCATTGCTAATTTTGCCTTTTACCCAATTTATTAAGCCGTCATCTTGATATTCTGTAATAAAACAATCAGAAGTCTAAGAATAAATTTCCTCACGATGAAAGCTAGTATGATTTTGATACATGTTCTTATAAATGATATTATGATTATTTTAAAAACATTCCAAACTTTTTTACGTCCATAAAATATAACCATGCTTATATTGAAATAGTTCAAGAGTTGAAAAAGGTTGTTTCAGATAATTGATAATTTTAAACCTAAAAATGAAAACACAAACAAAAAGTAGAATTTGGTTTTTTATCGACTAATATGTTAATTAATTTTTTTTTATGTTCGCTGCTTATCTTTTGAATTATTTTCGTACATACCATCAACATTAATTTTATTCTTGTTGTCCGTTAACAGAAACGATTAATAAATTAGAGATTGTAATAAAAATATATAAGTTTAAATTAAATGTATAGTAAAGAAAATTTTATCAAGTTATAGAATGGTTGAATATTTAAAAGCAATCTAAAGATTGAGAACGTTTTTGAATATTTTTAGCATTGTCAAACATCAACAAATAACTAACTGACCCAAACCAAAAAAAAAAAAAAAATAAAAAAAAAAAAAATACCAACGAGCATAATGATTAAAAGAAAACGAGAAATAATAAACTATTTTTTAAAATAGTCGCAGCTTATTTTTAGAATAGTTTTCAAGTATATGCTTTAAATCCATTCCATCCTTGTCTGTTAACAGAAATGGTTAATAAATTAGATATTGTAATTAATATTACTAAATAAGTTGAAAAAATATTTTAATTATAGTAAATTAAGACAATATAAAGAATACTCAAATATTTAAAAACAATATAAAATATGAAAGTAATCAAAAGATTGAAAACATTTTCTAAAATTTCAATTTTCAACAACTACTTATTTGTCCTACTTAAGAACAAACTAAATCAAAAAAACACATACCTATTATGTAAGGGGTTTAAATAATTGACATATTTTTTTGCTATCCGTTTACAGGTTTACAGTTGTGTACGCTAACTAAAAGATTCTGTTGTAAAATAAATATAACTATAAAAAATTTACTCGCTCTCCATTTATTTTTGAATAACATCTAAATAGTAAACCAAAGTAAATTAAATCATGTTTCACTCAATAAAGTCGTCGACTTCCAAGAGCGTAAGATAACTTTAACTTAAGCTTATCCCTATAGAAGAGTTAAGCTACATCAATTAATAATCTCAATTTATCTATTACAAAGCTATCCAACACATAAGGATTGTTGAACTTAATTTTGATCGAATATCTACGGGATTTAAACCCGCGTTTGTAGAGAGATCTCAACATTTTACTGGACCGTATGAAGTTTTAGCCAACTGAGCTTCCATGCACCATCCGCAGAACGTAACAACTATAGCTCAAAAATAATTATATAATTATTATTTTACATCAATCACAACTTGTAGACGTAACTTGTTATGAATTGTTTGCATTTATTAAAAAAATATATGATCTTTCTACAGTGGTGGTTTTGTTTTAATTTTATATGCATATTATTCAGAGTAAAAAAACTACCCAAAAAGGTTTTGTTATAATTGAATTTCTTACCTTTATCATTGCTAATTTTTCCATTTATCCAATCCTTTAAACCGCCATTTTGATATCCTGTAATAAAACAATCAGAAGTCTAGGAATACCTTTTCTCACGATAGAAGCTAGTATCATTTTGATACATGTTCTTATAAATTGATCTTATGATAATTTTTAAATCCATTCCAAACTTGTTTACATCCATAAAATATAACCATGCTTATATTTAAATAGTTCAAAAGTTGGCAAAGGTTGCTAATGATAATTATTGATTATTTTAAACCTAAAAATTAAAACATAAACCCAAAGTAGAATGTGGTTTTTATCGGATAGGTTAATTAAACATTTTTTACATAATGTTTGCTGCTTAACTTTTGAATTATTTTCGTACATACCATCAAAATAATTTTATTCTTGGTGACTGTTAACAGAAGCGATTAATAAATTAGAGATTGTAATAAAAATATATAAGTTTAAATAAAATGTATAGTAAAGAAAATTTAATCAAGTTATAGAATGTTTGAATATTTAAAAGAAATGTAAAAACAATCTACAGATTGAAAACGTTTTTGACAATTTTCAGCATTGTCAAAAATCAACAATTAACTAACTGACCCAAACCAAAACCAAAATAAATATAAAAAAATACCACTGAGCATAATGATTAGAAGAAAACGAGAAATAATAAACTATTTTAAAGAATAGTCGCAGCTTACCTTTAAAGTAATTTTCAAGTATATGCTTTAAATCCATTCCATCCTTGTCTGTTAACAGAAATATCAATCAAATTAAATATTGATATAAAAATACTAGGCCTAAATAAGTTAAAAGAATATATCAATTACTGTATAGTAAATTATGACAATATAAAGAACACTACGAATAAAAACAAAATATATAAAATATAAAAGTAATCAAAAGATTGAAAACATTTTTTTAAATTTCAATATTGATCAATTACTTATTTGTCCTACTTAAGAACAAACTAAATCAAGAAGACACATACCTATTATCAAAGGGGTTTAAACAATTGAAATATTTTTTTGCTATCCGTTTACTAATAGGTTTACAGTTTTGTACGCTGAATAAAAGTTTCTGTTGTAAAAAGAACTATAAACTATAAACTAAGAACTATAACTATAAATTTTATACACACTTTTATTTTATTTCAAAACAATATTCAAATAGTAAACCAAAGTAAATTAAAACATGTTTAACTCAATAAAGTTGTCGACTTCCAACAGCGTAAGATAACTTTAACTTTAGGTTATCGCTATAGAAGAGTTGAGCCACATTAATTAATGATCTCAATTTATCTATTACAAAGCTATCCAACAATTAAGGATTATTGAACTCAATTTTGATCGAATATATACGGGATTTAAGCCCGCGTATAAAGAGAGATCTCAACATTTTACTGGACTGTGTAAACTTAGCCAACTGAGCTACCATGCACCATCGGCAGAACGTAACAACTACTGCTCAAAGAAAATTATATAATTATTATTTTACATCAAACACAACTTGTAGACTAACTTGTTATGAATTGTTTGCATTTATTAAAAAAATATATGATCTTTTTACAGTGGTGGTTTTTTTTAATTTCATATGCTTATTATTTAGAGAAATAACACCACCCAAATAGGTTTTGTTATAATTGAATTTCTTACCTTTATCATTGCTTATTTTGCCTTTTACCCAATTTATTAAGCCGTCATCTTGATATTCTGTAATAAAACAATCAGAAGTCTAAGAGTAAATTTCCTCACGATAAAAGTTAGTATGATTTTGATACATGTTCTTATAAATGATATTATGATTATTTTTTTAAAACATTCCAAACTTTTTTACGTTCATAAAATATAACCATGCTTATATTGAAATAATTCAAGAGTTGACAAAGGTTGTTTAAGATAATTGATAATTTTAAACCAAAAAATTAAAACACAAACAAAAAGTAGAATTTGGTTTTTTATCGACTGATATGTTAATTATTTTTTTTTTATGTTCGCTGCTTATCTTTTGAATTATTTTCGTACATACCATCAACATTAATTTTATTCTTGTTGTCTGTTAACAGAAACGATTAATAAATTAGAGATTGTAATACAAATATATAAGTTTAAATTAAATGTATTGTAAAGAAAATTTAATCAAGTTATAGAATGTTTGAATATTTAAAAGCAATGTAAGAACAATCGAAAGATTGAGAACGTTTTTGAAAATTTTTAGCATTGTCAAACATCAACAAATAACTAACTGCCCCAAACCAAAAAAAAAACAAAAAACCAATGAGCATAATGATTAAAAGAAAACGAGAAATAATAAACTATTTTTTTAAATAGTCGCAGCTTATTTTTAGAATAGTTTTCAAGTATATGCTTTAAATCCATTCCATCCTTGTCTGTTAACAGAAATGGTTAATAAATTAGATATTGTAATAAATATTACTAAATAAGTTGAAAAAATATTTTAATTATAGTAAATTAAGACAATATAAAGAATACTAAAATAGTTAAAAACAATATAAAATATGAAAGTAATCAAAAGATAGAAAACATTTTCTAAAATTTCAATTTTCAACAACTACTTATTTGTCCGACTTAAGAACAAACTAAATCAAGAAAACACATACCTATTATGTAAGGGGTTTAAATAATTGACATATTTTTTGCTATCCGTTTACAGGTTTACAGTTGTGTACGCTAACTAAAAGATTCTGTTGTAAAATAAATATAACTATAAATAATTTACTCGCTCTTCATTTATTTTTAAATAACATCTAAATAGTAAACCAAAGTAAATTAAAACATGTTTCACTCAATAAAGTCGTCGACTTCCAAGAGCGTAAGATAACTTTAACTTAAGGTTATCCCTATAGAAGAGTTAAGCTACATCAATTAATAATCTCAATTTATCTACTGTATTACAAAGCTATCCAACACATAAGGATTGTTGAACTTAATTTTGATCGAATATCTACGGGATTTAAACCCGCGTTTGTAGAGAGATCTCAACATTTTACTGGACCGTTTAAAGTTTTAGCCAACTGAGCTTCCATGCACCATCCGCAGAACGTAACAACTATAGCTCAAAAATAATTATATAATTATTATTTTACATCAATCACAACTTGTAGACGTAACTTGTTATGAATTGTTTGCATTTATTAAAAAAATATATGATCTTTCTACAGTGGTGGTTTTGTTTTAATTTTACATGCATATTATTCAGAGTAAAAAAACTACACAAAAAGGTATTGTTATTATTGAATTTCTTACCTTTATCATTGCTAATTTTTCCATTTATCCAATCCTTTAAACCGCCATTTTGATATCCTGTAATAAAACAATCAGAAGTCTAGGAATACCTTTTCTCACGATAGAAGCTAGTATCATTTTGATACATGTTCTTATAAATTGATCTTATGATAATTTTTAAATCCATTCCAAACTTGTTTACATCCATAAAATATAACCATGCTTATATTTAAATAGTTCAAAAGTTGGCAAAGGTTGCTAAAGATAATTATTGATTATTTTAAACCTAAAAATTAAAACATAAACCCAAAGTAGAATGTGGTTTTTATCGGATACGTTATTTAAACTTTTTTTACATAATGTTTTCTGCTTAACTTTTGAATTATTTTCGTACATACCATCAAAATAATTTTATTCTTGTTGACTGTTAACAGAAGCGATTAATAAATTAGAGATTGTAATAAAAATATATAAGTTTAAATTAAATGTATAGTAAAGAAAATTTAATCAAGTTATAGAATGTTTGAATATTTAAAAGAAATGTAAAAACAATCTACAGATTGAAAACGTTTTTGACCATTTTCAGCATTGTCAAAAAATCAACAATTAACTAACTGACCCAAACCAAAACCAAAATAAATATAAAAAAATACCACTGAGCATAATGATTAGAAAAAACGAGAAATAATAAACTATTTTAAAGAATAGTCGCAGCTTACCTTTAAAGTAATTTTCAAGTATATGCTTTAAATCCATTCCATCCTTGTCTGTTAACAGAAATATCAATCAAATTAAATATTGATATAAAAATACTAGGCCTAAATAAGTTAAAAGAATATATCAATTACTGTATAGTAAATTATGACAATATAAAGAACAATACAAATAAAAACAAAATATATAAAATATGAAAGTAATCAAAAGATTGAAAACATTTTTTTAAATTTCAATATTGATCAATTACTTATTTGTCCTACTTAAGTACAAACTAAATCAAGAAGACACATACCTATTATCAAAGGGGTTTAAACAATTGAAATATTTTTTTGCTATCCGTTTACTAATAGGTTTACAGTTTTGTACGCTGAATAAAAGTTTCTGTTGTAAAAAGAACTATAAACTATAAACTAAGAACTATAACTATAAATTTTATACACACTTTTCTTTTATTTTAAAACAATATTCAAATAGTAAACCAAAGTAAATTAAAACATGTTTAACTCAATAAAGTCGTCGACTTCCAACAGCGTAAGATAACTTTAACTTTAGTTTATCGCTATAGAAGAGTTGAGCCACATTAATTAATGATCTCAATTTATCTATTACAAAGCTATCCAACAATTAAGGATTATTGAACTCAATTTTGATCGAATATATACGGGATTTAAGCCCGCGTATAAAGAGAGATCTCAACATTTTACTTGACTGTGTAAACTTAGCCAACTGAGCTACCATGCACCATCGGCAGAACGTAACAACTACTGCTCAAAGAAAATTATATAATTATTATTTTACATCAAACACAACTTGTAGACTAACTTGTTATGAATTGTTTGCATTTATTAAAAAAATATATGATCTTTTTACAGTGGTGGTTTTTTTTTAAATTTCATATGCTTATTATTTAGAGAAATAACACCACCCAAATAGGTTTTGTTATAATTGAATTTCTTACCTTTATCATTGCTTATTTTGCCTTTTACCCAATTTATTAAGCCGTCATCTTGATATTCTGTAATAAAACAATCAGAAGTCTAAGAGTAAATTTCCTCACGATAAAAGCTAGTATGATTTTGATACATGTTCTTATAAATGATATTATTATTATTTTTTTTAAATCATTCCAAACTTTTTTACGTTCATAAAATATAACCATGCTTATATTGAAATGATTCAAGAGTTGACAAAGGTTGTTTAAGACAATTGATAATTTTAAACCTAAAAATTAAAACACAAACAAAAAGTAGAATTTGGTTTTGTATCGACTGATATGTTAATTAATTTTTTTTTTTATGTTAGCTGCTTATCTTCTGAATTATTTTCGTACATACCATCAACATTAATTTTATTCTTGTTGTCTGTTAACAGAAACGATTAATAAATTAGAGATTGTAATAAAAATATATAAGTTTAAATTAAATGTATTGTAAAGAAAATTTTAATCAAGTTATAGAATGTTTGAATATTTAAAAGCAATGTAAGAACAATCGAAAGATTGAGAACGTTTTTGAAAATTTTTAGCATTGTCAAACATCAACAAATAACTAACTGACCCAAACAAAAACAAAAAAAAAATACCAATGAGCATAATGATTAGAAGAAAACGAGAAATAATAAACTATTGTTTAAAATAGTCGCAGCTTATTTTTAGAATAGTTTTCAAGTATATGCTTTAAATCCATTCCATCCTTGTCTGTTAACAGAAATGTTTAATAAATTAGATATTGTAATAAATATTTCTAAATAAGTTGAAAAAATATTTTAATTATAGTAAATTAAGACAATATAAAGAATACTCAAATATTTAAAAACAATATAAAATATGAAAGTAATCAAAAGATTGAAAACGTTTTCTAAAATTTCAATTTTCAACAACTACTTATTTGTCCTACTTAAGAACAAACTAAATCAAGAAAACACATACCTATTATGTAAGGGGTTTAAATAATTGACATATTTTTTTGCTATCCGTTTACTGGTTTACAGTTGTGTACGCTAACTAAAAGATTCTGTTGTAAAATAAATATAACTATAAATAATTTACTCGCTCTCCATTTATTTTTTAATAACATCTAAATAGTAAACCAAAGTAAATTAAAACATGTTTCACTCAATAAAGTCGTCGACTTCCAAGAGCGTAAGATAACTTTAACTTAAGGTTATCCCTATAGAAGAGTTAAGCTACATCAATTAATAATCTCAATTTATCTACTGTATTACAAAGCTATCCAACACATAAGGATTGTTGAACTTAATTTTGATCGAATATCTACGGGATTTAAACCCGCGTTTGTAGAGAGATCTCAACATTTTACTGGACCGTTTAAAGTTTTAGCCAACTGAGCTTCCATGCACCATCCGCAGAACGTAACAACTATAGCTCAAAAATAATTATATAATTATTATTTTACATCAATCACAACTTGTAGACGTAACTTGTTATGAATTGTTTGCATTTATTAAAAAAATATATGATCTTTCTACAGTGGTGGTTTTGTTTTAATTTTACATGCATATTATTCAGAGTAAAAAAACTACACAAAAAGGTTTTGTTATTATTGAATTTCTTACCTTTATCATTGCTAATTTTTCCATTTATCCAATCCTTTAAACCGCCATTTTGATATCCTGTAATAAAACAATCAGAAGTCTAGGAATACCTTTTCTCACGATAGAAGCTAGTATCATTTTGATACATGTTCTTATAAATTGATCTTATGATAATTTTTAAATCCATTCCAAACTTGTTTACATCCATAAAATATAACCATGCTTATATTTAAATAGTTCAAAAGTTGGCAAAGGTTGCTAAAGATAATTATTGATTATTTTAAACCTAAAAATTAAAACATAAACCCAAAGTAGAATGTGGTTTTTATCGGATACGTTATTTAAACTTTTTTTACATAATGTTTTCTGCTTAACTTTTGAATTATTTTCGTACATACCATCAAAATAATTTTATTCTTGTTGACTGTTAACAGAAGCGATTAATAAATTAGAGATTGTAATAAAAATATATAAGTTTAAATTAAATGTATAGTAAAGAAAATTTAATCAAGTTATAGAATGTTTGAATATTTAAAAGAAATGTAAAAACAATCTACAGATTGAAAACGTTTTTGACCATTTTCAGCATTGTCAAAAAATCAACAATTAACTAACTGACCCAAACCAAAACCAAAATAAATATAAAAAAATACCACTGAGCATAATGATTAGAAAAAACGAGAAATAATAAACTATTTTAAAGAATAGTCGCAGCTTACCTTTAAAGTAATTTTCAAGTATATGCTTTAAATCCATTCCATCCTTGTCTGTTAACAGAAATATCAATCAAATTAAATATTGATATAAAAATACTAGGCCTAAATAAGTTAAAAGAATATATCAATTACTGTATAGTAAATTATGACAATATAAAGAACAATACAAATAAAAACAAAATATATAAAATATGAAAGTAATCAAAAGATTGAAAACATTTTTTTAAATTTCAATATTGATCAATTACTTATTTGTCCTACTTAAGTACAAACTAAATCAAGAAGACACATACCTATTATCAAAGGGGTTTAAACAATTGAAATATTTTTTTGCTATCCGTTTACTAATAGGTTTACAGTTTTGTACGCTGAATAAAAGTTTCTGTTGTAAAAAGAACTATAAACTATAAACTAAGAACTATAACTATAAATTTTATACACACTTTTCTTTTATTTTAAAACAATATTCAAATAGTAAACCAAAGTAAATTAAAACATGTTTAACTCAATAAAGTCGTCGACTTCCAACAGCGTAAGATAACTTTAACTTTAGTTTATCGCTATAGAAGAGTTGAGCCACATTAATTAATGATCTCAATTTATCTATTACAAAGCTATCCAACAATTAAGGATTATTGAACTCAATTTTGAACGAATATATACGGGATTTAAGCCCGCGTATAAAGAGAGATCTCAACATTTTACTTGACTGTGTAAACTTAGCCAACTGAGCTACCATGCACCATCGGCAGAACGTAACAACTACTGCTCAAAGAAAATTATATAATTATTATTTTACATCAAACACAACTTGTAGACTAACTTGTTATGAATTGTTTGCATTTATTAAAAAAATATATGATCTTTTTACAGTGGTGGTTTTTTTTTTAAATTTCATATGCTTATTATTTAGAGAAATAACACCACCCAAATAGGTTTTGTTATAATTGAATTTCTTACCTTTAGCATTGCTTATTTTGCCTTTTACCCAATTTATTAAGCCGTCATCTTGATATTCTGTAATAAAACAATCAGAAGTCTAAGAGTAAATTTCCTCACGATAAAAGCTAGTATGATTTTGATACATGTTCTTATAAATGATATTATTATTATTTTTTTTAAATCATTCCAAACTTTTTTACGTTCATAAAATATAACCATGCTTATATTGAAATGATTCAAGAGTTGACAAAGGTTGTTTAAGACAATTGATAATTTTAAACCTAAAAATTAAAACACAAACAAAAAGTAGAATTTGGTTTTGTATCGACTGATATGTTAATTAATTTTTTTTTTTATGTTAGCTGCTTATCTTCTGAATTATTTTCGTACATACCATCAACATTAATTTTATTCTTGTTGTCTGTTAACAGAAACGATTAATAAATTAGAGATTGTAATAAAAATATATAAGTTTAAATTAAATGTATTGTAAAGAAAATTTTAATCAAGTTATAGAATGTTTGAATATTTAAAAGCAATGTAAGAACAATCGAAAGATTGAGAACGTTTTTGAAAATTTTTAGCATTGTCAAACATCAACAAATAACTAACTGACCCAAACAAAAACAAAAAAAAAAATACCAATGAGCATAATGATTAGAAGAAAACGAGAAATAATAAACTATTGTTTAAAATAGTCGCAGCTTATTTTTAGAATAGTTTTCAAGTATATGCTTTAAATCCATTCCATCCTTGTCTGTTAACAGAAATGTTTAATAAATTAGATATTGTAATAAATATTTCTAAATAATTTGAAAAAATATTTTAATTATAGTAAATTAAGACAATATAAAGAATACTCAAATATTTAAAAACAATATAAAATATGAAAGTAATCAAAAGATTGAAAACGTTTTCTAAAATTTCAATTTTCAACAACTACTTATTTGTCCTACTTAAGAACAAACTAAATCAAGAAAACACATACCTATTATGTAAGGGGTTTAAATAATTGACATATTTTTTTGCTATCCGTTTACTGGTTTACAGTTGTGTACGCTAACTAAAAGATTCTGTTGTAAAATAAATATAACTATAAATAATTTACTCGCTCTCCATTTATTTTTTAATAACATCTAAATAGTAAACCAAAGTAAATTAAAACATGTTTCACTCAATAAAGTCGTCGACTTCCAAGAGCGTAAGATAACTTTAACTTAAGGTTATCCCTATAGAAGAGTTAAGCTACATCAATTAATAATCTCAATTTATCTATTACAAAGCTATCCAACACATAAGGATTGTTGAACTTAATTTTGATCGAATATCTACGGGATTTAAACCCGCGTTTGTAGAGAGATCTCAACATTTTACTGGACCGTATGAAGTTTTAGCCAACTGAGCTTCCATGCACCATCCGCAGAACGTAACAACTATAGCTCAAAAATAATTATATAATTATTATTTTACATCAATCACAACTTGTAGACGTAACTTGTTATGAATTGTTTGCATCATTTAAAAAAAAAATGAACTTTCTACAGTGGTGGTTTTGTTTTAATTTTATATGCATATTATTCAGAGTAAAAAAACTACACAAAAAGGTTTTGTTATAATTGAATTTCTTACCTTTATCATTGCTAATTTTGCCATTTATCCACTCCTTTAAACCGCCATTTTGATATCCTGTAATAAAACAATTAGAAGTCTAAGAATAACTTTTCTCACGATAGAAGCTAGTATCATTTTGATACATGTTCTTATAAATGATATTATGATAATTTTTAAATCCATTCCAAACTTGTTTACGTCCATAAAATATAACCATGTTTATATTTAAATAGTTAAAAGTTGGCAAAGGTTGCTAAAGATAATTATTGATTATCTTAAACCTAAAAATTAAAACATAAACCCAAAGTAGAATGTGGTTTTTTATCGGATACGTTATTTAAACTTTTTTTTACCTAATGTTTGCTGCTTAAATTTTGTATTATTTTCGTACATACCATCAAAATAATTTTATTCTTGTTGTCTGTTAACAGAAGCGATTAATAAATTAGAGATTGTAATAAAAATATATAAGTTTAAATTAAATGTATAGTAAAGAAAATTTAATCAAGTTATAGAATGTTTGAGTATTTAAAAGAAATGTAAAAACAATCTACAGATTGAAAACGTTTTTGACAATTTTCAGCATTGTCAAAAATCAACAATTAACTATCTGACCCAAACCAAAACCAAAATAAATATAAAAAAATACCACTGAGCATAATGATTAGAAGAAAACGAGAAATAATAAACTATTTTAAAGAATAGTCGCAGCTTACCTTTAAAGTAATTTTCAAGTATATGCTTTAAATCCATTCCATCCTTGTCTGTTAACAGAAATATCAATCAAATTAAATATTGATATAAAAATACTAGGCCTAAATAAGTTAAAAGAATATATCAATTACTGTATAGTAAATTATGACAATATAAAGAACACTACAATATAACACTAAATAATACACTAAATAAAAAAATATATATAAAATATGAAAGTAATCAAAAGATTGAAAACATTTTTTTAAATTTCAATATTGATCAATTACTTATTTGTCCTACTTAAGAACAAACTAAATCAAGAAAACACATACCTATTATCTAAGGGGTTTAAACAATTGAAATATTTTTTTGCTATCCGTTTACTAATAGGTTTACAGTTTTTTACGCTGAATAAAAGTTTCTGTTGTAAAAAGAAATATAACTATAAATATTCCACACACTTTTCATTTATTTTTAAAACAATATTAAAATAGTAAAACAAAGTAAATTGAAACATGTTTAACTCAATAAAGTCGTCCACTTTCAACAGCGTAAGATAACTTTAACTTTAGGTTTTCATTATAGAAGAGTTAAGCCACGTCAGTTAATAATTTCAATTTATGTATTACAAAGCTATCTAACAATTAAGGATTATTACACTCAATTTTGATCGAATATCTACGGGATTTAAACCCGCTTATATAGAGAGACCTCAACATTTTACTGGACTTTGTGAAATCTTTGCCAACTGAGCTATCGGCAAAACGTAACAACTACTGCTCAAAGATAATTATATAATTATTATTTTACATCAAACACAACTTGTAGACGTAACTTGTTATGAATTGTTTGCATTTATTAAAACATATATGATCTTTTGACAGTGTTGGTTTTGTTTTAATTTCATATGCGTATTATCCAGAGGAATAAAACTACCCAAATAGGTTTGGTTAAAATTGATTTTCTTACCTTTTTCACTGCTGATTTTGCCTTTTATCCACTTTAATAAACCGTTATCTTGATATTCTGGAATAGAACAATCAGAAGTCTAAGAGTAAATTTCCTCACGATAAAAGTTAGTATGATTTTGATACATGTTCTTATAAATGATATTATGATTATTTTTTAAAAACATTCCAAACTTTTTTACGTCCATAAAATATAACCATGCTTATATTGAAATAGTTAAAGAGTTGAAAAAGGTTGTTTAAGATAATTGATAATTTTAAACCTAAAAATTAAAACACAAACAAAAAGTAGAATTTGGTTTTTTATCGACTTATATGTTAATTAATTTTTTTTTATGTTCGCTGCTTATCTTTTGAATTATTTTCGTACATACCATCAACATAAATTTTATTCTTGTTGTCTGTTAACAGAAACGATTAATAAATTAGAGATTGTAATAAAAATATATAAGTTTAAATTAAATGTATAGTAAACAATATTTAATCAAGTTATAGAATGTTTGAATATTTAAAAGCAATGTAAGAACAATCCAAAGATTGAGAACGTTTTTGAAAATTTTTAGCATTGTCAAACATCAACAAATAACTAACTGACCCAAACCAAAACAAAAAAAATATACCAATGAGCATAATGATTAGAAGAAAACGAGAAATAATAAACTGTTTTTTAAAATAGTCGCAGCTTATTTTTAGAATAGTTTTCAAGTATATGCTTTAAATCCTTTCCATCCTTGTCTGTTAACAGAAATGTTTATTAAATTAGATATTGTAATAAATATTACTAAATAAGTTGAAAAAATATTTTAATTATAGTAAATTAGGACAATATAAAGAATACTCAAATATTTAAAAACAATATAAAATATGAAATTAATCAAAAGATTGAAAACATTTTCTAAAATTTCAATTTTCAACAACTACTTATTTGTCCTACTTAAGAACAAACTTAATCAAGAAAACACATACCTATTATGTAAGGGGTTTAAATAATTGACATATTTTTTTGCTATCCGTTTACAGGTTTACAGTTGTGTACGCTAAATAAAAGTTTCGGTTGTAAAAATAAATATAACTATAAATATTCTACACACTTTTCTTTTATTTTTAAAACAATATTTAAATAGCAAACCAAAGTAAATTAGAACATGTTTAACTCAATAAAGTCGTTGACTTCCAACAGCATAAGATAACTTTAACTTTAGGTTATCGCTATAGAAGAGTTGAGCCACATTAATTAATGAGCTCAATTTATCTATTACAAAGCTTTCCAACAATTGAGGATTATTGAACTCAATTTCGATCGGATATCTACGGGATTTAAACCCGCGTTTGTAGAGAGATCTCAACATTTTACTGGACCGTATGAAGTTTTAGCCAACTGAGCTTCCATGCACCATCCGCAGAACGTAACAACTATAGCTCAAAGATAATTATATAATTATTATTTTACATCAATCACAACTTGTAGACGTAACTTGTTATGAATTGTTTGCATTTATTAAAAAAATATATGATCTTTCTACCATGGTGGTTTTGTTTTAATTTTATATGCTTATTATTCAGAGTAAAAAAACTACCCAAAAAGGTTTTGTTATAATTGAATTTCTTACCTTTATCATTGCTAATTTTGCCATTTATCCAATCCTTTAAACCGCCATTTTGATATCCTGTAATAAAACAATCAGAAGTCTTAGAATAACCTTTCTCACGATAGAAGCTAGCATCATTTTGATACATGTACTTATAAATGATATTATGATAATTTTTAAATCCATTCCAAACTTGTTTACGTCTATAAAATATAACCATGCTTATATTTAAATAGTTAAAAGTTGGCAAAGGTTGCTAAAGATAATTATTGATTATTTTAAACCTACAAATTAAAACATAAACCCAAAGTAGAATGTGGTTTTTATCGGATACGTTATTTAAACTTTTTTTTACATAATGTTTGCTGCTTAACTTTTGAATTATTTTCGTACATACCATCGAAATAATTTTATTCTTGTTGTCTGTTAACAGAACCGATTAATAAATTAGAGATTGTAATAAAAATATATAAGTTTAAATTTACGTATATTAAAAAAAAATTAATCAAGTTATAGAATGTTTAAATATTTAAAAGAAATGTAAAAACAATCTACAGATTGAAAACGTTTTTGACAATTTTCAGCATTGTCAAAAATCAACAATTAACTAACTGACCCAAACCAAAACCAAAATAAATATAAAAAAATACCACTGAGCATAATGATTAGAAGAAAACGAGAAATAATAAACTATTTTAAAGAATAGTCGCAGCTTACCTTTAAAGTAATTTTCAAGTATATGCTTTAAATCCATTCCATCCTTGTCTGTTAACAGAAATATCAATCAAATTAAATATTGATATAAAAATACTAGGCCTAAATAAGTTAAAAGAATATATCAATTACTGTATAGTAAATTATGACAATATAAAGAACACTACAAATAAAAACAAAATATATAAAATATAAAAGTAATCAAAAGATTGAAAACATTTTTTTAAATTTCAATATTGATCAATTACTTATTTGTCCTACTTAAGAACAAACTAAATCAAGAAGACACATACCTATTATCAAAGGGGTTTAAACAATTGAAATATTTTTTTGCTATCCGTTTACTAATAGGTTTACAGTTTTGTACGCTGAATAAAAGTTTCTGTTGTAAAAAGAACTATAAACTATAAACTAAGAACTATAACTATAAATTTTATACACACTTTTTTTTTATTTCAAAACAATATTCAAATAGTAAACCAAAGTAAATTAAAACATGTTTAACTCAATAAAGTTGTCGACTTCCAACAGCGTAAGATAACTTTAACTTTAGGTTATCGCTATAGAAGAGTTGAGCCACATTAATTAATGATCTCAATTTATCTATTACAAAGCTATCCAACAATTAAGGATTATTGAACTCAATTTTGATCGAATATATACGGGATTTAAGCCCGCGTATAAAGAGAGATCTCAACATTTTACTGGACTGTGTAAACTTAGCCAACTGAGCTACCATGCACCATCGGCAGAACGTAACAACTACTGCTCAAAGAAAATTATATAATTATTATTTTACATCAAACACAACTTGTAGACTAACTTGTTATGAATTGTTTGCATTTATTAAAAAAATATATGATCTTTTTACAGTGGTGGTTTTTTTTAATTTCATATGCTTATTATTTAGAGAAATAACACCACCCAAATAGGTTTTGTTATAATTGAATTTCTTACCTTTATCATTGCTTATTTTGCCTTTTACCCAATTTATTAAGCCGTCATCTTGATATTCTGTAATAAAACAATCAGAAGTCTAAGAGTAAATTTCCTCACGATAAAAGTTAGTATGATTTTGATACATGTTCTTATAAATGATATTATGATTATTTTTTTAAAACATTCCAAACTTTTTTACGTTCATAAAATATAACCATGATTATATTGAAATAATTCAAGAGTTGACAAAGGTTGTTTAAGATAATTGATAATTTTAAACCAAAAAATTAAAACACAAACAAAAAGTAGAATTTGGTTTTTTATCGACTGATATGTTAATTATTTTTTTTTTATGTTCGCTGCTTATCTTTTGAATTATTTTCGTACATACCATCAACATTAATTTTATTCTTGTTGTCTGTTAACAGAAACGATTAATAAATTAGAGATTGTAATACAAATATATAAGTTTAAATTAAATGTATTGTAAAGAAAATTTAATCAAGTTATAGAATGTTTGAATATTTAAAAGCAATGTAAGAACAATCGAAAGATTGAGAACGTTTTTGAAAATTTTTAGCATTGTCAAACATCAACAAATAACTAACTGCCCCAAACCAAAAAAAAAAACAAAAAACCAATGAGCATAATGATTAAAAGAAAACGAGAAATAATAAACTATTTTTTTAAATAGTCGCAGCTTATTTTTAGAATAGTTTTCAAGTATATGCTTTAAATCCATTCCATCCTTGTCTGTTAACAGAAATGGTTAATAAATTAGATATTGTAATAAATATTACTAAATAAGTTGAAAAAATATTTTAATTATAGTAAATTAAGACAATATAAAGAATACTAAAATAGTTAAAAACAATATAAAATATGAAAGTAATCAAAAGATAGAAAACATTTTCTAAAATTTCAATTTTCAACAACTACTTATTTGTCCGACTTAAGAACAAACTAAATCAAGAAAACACATACCTATTATGTAAGGGGTTTAAATAATTGACATATTTTTTGCTATCCGTTTACAGGTTTACAGTTGTGTACGCTAACTAAAAGATTCTGTTGTAAAATAAATATAACTATAAATAATTTACTCGCTCTTCATTTATTTTTAAATAACATCTAAATAGTAAACCAAAGTAAATTAAAACATGTTTCACTCAATAAAGTCGTCGACTTCCAAGAGCGTAAGATAACTTTAACTTAAGGTTATCCCTATAGAAGAGTTAAGCTACATCAATTAATAATCTCAATTTATCTACTGTATTACAAAGCTATCCAACACATAAGGATTGTTGAACTTAATTTTGATCGAATATCTACGGGATTTAAACCCGCGTTTGTAGAGAGATCTCAACATTTTACTGGACCGTTTAAAGTTTTAGCCAACTGAGCTTCCATGCACCATCCGCAGAACGTAACAACTATAGCTCAAAAATAATTATATAATTATTATTTTACATCAATCACAACTTGTAGACGTAACTTGTTATGAATTGTTTGCATTTATTAAAAAAATATATGATCTTTCTACAGTGGTGGTTTTGTTTTAATTTTACATGCATATTATTCAGAGTAAAAAAACTACACAAAAAGGTTTTGTTATTATTGAATTTCTTACCTTTATCATTGCTAATTTTTCCATTTATCCAATCCTTTAAACCGCCATTTTGATATCCTGTAATAAAACAATCAGAAGTCTAGGAATACCTTTTCTCACGATAGAAGCTAGTATCATTTTGATACATGTTCTTATAAATTGATCTTATGATAATTTTTAAATCCATTCCAAACTTGTTTACATCCATAAAATTTAACCATGCTTATATTTAAATAGTTCAAAAGTTGGCAAAGGTTGCTAAAGATAATTATTGATTATTTTAAACCTAAAAATTAAAACATAAACCCAAAGTAGAATGTGGTTTTTATCGGATACGTTATTTAAACTTTTTTTACATAATGTTTTCTGCTTAACTTTTGAATTATTTTCGTACATACCATCAAAATAATTTTATTCTTGTTGACTGTTAACAGAAGCGATTAATAAATTAGAGATTGTAATAAAAATATATAAGTTTAAATTAAATGTATAGTAAAGAAAATTTAATCAAGTTATAGAATGTTTGAATATTTAAAAGAAATGTAAAAACAATCTACAGATTGAAAACGTTTTTGACCATTTTCAGCATTGTCAAAAAATCAACAATTAACTAACTGACCCAAACCAAAACCAAAATAAATATAAAAAAATACCACTGAGCATAATGATTAGAAAAAACGAGAAATAATAAACTATTTTAAAGAATAGTCGCAGCTTACCTTTAAAGTAATTTTCAAGTATATGCTTTAAATCCATTCCATCCTTGTCTGTTAACAGAAATATCAATCAAATTAAATATTGATATAAAAATACTAGGCCTAAATAAGTTAAAAGAATATATCAATTACTGTATAGTAAATTATGACAATATAAAGAACAATACAAATAAAAACAAAATATATAAAATATGAAAGTAATCAAAAGATTGAAAACATTTTTTTAAATTTCAATATTGATCAATTACTTATTTGTCCTACTTAAGTACAAACTAAATCAAGAAGACACATACCTATTATCAAAGGGGTTTAAACAATTGAAATATTTTTTTGCTATCCGTTTACTAATAGGTTTACAGTTTTGTACGCTGAATAAAAGTTTCTGTTGTAAAAAGAACTATAAACTATAAACTAAGAACTATAACTATAAATTTTATACACACTTTTCTTTTATTTTAAAACAATATTCAAATAGTAAACCAAAGTAAATTAAAACATGTTTAACTCAATAAAGTCGTCGACTTCCAACAGCGTAAGATAACTTTAACTTTAGTTTATCGCTATAGAAGAGTTGAGCCACATTAATTAATGATCTCAATTTATCTATTACAAAGCTATCCAACAATTAAGGATTATTGAACTCAATTTTGATCGAATATATACGGGATTTAAGCCCGCGTATAAAGAGAGATCTCAACATTTTACTTGACTGTGTAAACTTAGCCAACTGAGCTACCATGCACCATCGGCAGAACGTAACAACTACTGCTCAAAGAAAATTATATAATTATTATTTTACATCAAACACAACTTGTAGACTAACTTGTTATGAATTGTTTGCATTTATTAAAAAAATATATGATCTTTTTACAGTGGTGGTTTTTTTTTAAATTTCATATGCTTATTATTTAGAGAAATAACACCACCCAAATAGGTTTTGTTATAATTGAATTTCTTACCTTTATCATTGCTTATTTTGCCTTTTACCCAATTTATTAAGCCGTCATCTTGATATTCTGTAATAAAACAATCAGAAGTCTAAGAGTAAATTTCCTCACGATAAAAGCTAGTATGATTTTGATACATGTTCTTATAAATGATATTATTATTATTTTTTTTAAATCATTCCAAACTTTTTTACGTTCATAAAATATAACCATGCTTATATTGAAATGATTCAAGAGTTGACAAAGGTTGTTTAAGACAATTGATAATTTTAAACCTAAAAATTAAAACACAAACAAAAAGTAGAATTTGGTTTTTTATCGACTGATATGTTAATTAATTTTTTTTTTATGTTAGCTGCTTATCTTCTGAATTATTTTCGTACATACCATCAACATTAATTTTATTCTTGTTGTCTGTTAACAGAAACGATTAATAAATTAGAGATTGTAATAAAAATATATAAGTTTAAATTAAATGTATTGTAAAGAAAATTTTAATCAAGTTATAGAATGTTTGAATATTTAAAAGCAATGTAAGAACAATCGAAAGATTGAGAACGTTTTTGAAAATTTTTAGCATTGTCAAACATCAACAAATAACTAACTGACCCAAACAAAAACAAAAAAAAAATACCAATGAGCATAATGATTAGAAGAAAACGAGAAATAATAAACTATTGTTTAAAATAGTCGCAGCTTATTTTTAGAATAGTTTTCAAGTATATGCTTTAAATCCATTCCATCCTTGTCTGTTAACAGAAATGTTTAATAAATTAGATATTGTAATAAATATTTCTAAATAAGTTGAAAAAATATTTTAATTATAGTAAATTAAGACAATATAAAGAATACTCAAATATTTAAAAACAATATAAAATATGAAAGTAATCAAAAGATTGAAAACGTTTTCTAAAATTTCAATTTTCAACAACTACTTATTTGTCCTACTTAAGAACAAACTAAATCAAGAAAACACATACCTATTATGTAAGGGGTTTAAATAATTGACATATTTTTTTGCTATCCGTTTACTGGTTTACAGTTGTGTACGCTAACTAAAAGATTCTGTTGTAAAATAAATATAACTATAAATAATTTACTCGCTCTCCATTTATTTTTTAATAACATCTAAATAGTAGACCAAAGTAAATTAAAACATGTTTCACTCAATAAAGTCGTCGACTTCCAAGAGCGTAAGATAACTTTAACTTAAGGTTATCCCTATAGAAGAGTTAAGCTACATCAATTAATAATCTCAATTTATCTATTACAAAGCTATCCAACACATAAGGATTGTTGAACTTAATTTTGATCGAATATCTACGGGATTTAAACCCGCGTTTGTAGAGAGATCTCAACATTTTACTGGACCGTATGAAGTTTTAGCCAACTGAGCTTCCATGCACCATCCGCAGAACGTAACAACTATAGCTCAAAAATAATTATATAATTATTATTTTACATCAATCACAACTTGTAGACGTAACTTGTTATGAATTGTTTGCATCATTTAAAAAAAAAATGAACTTTCTACAGTGGTGGTTTTGTTTTAATTTTATATGCATATTATTCAGAGTAAAAAAACTACACAAAAAGGTTTTGTTATAATTGAATTTCTTACCTTTATCATTGCTAATTTTGCCATTTATCCACTCCTTTAAACCGCCATTTTGATATCCTGTAATAAAACAATTAGAAGTCTAAGAATAACTTTTCTCACGATAGAAGCTAGTATCATTTTGATACATGTTCTTATAAATGATATTATGATAATTTTTAAATCCATTCCAAACTTGTTTACGTCCATAAAATATAACCATGCTTATATTTAAATAGTTAAAAGTTGGCAAAGGTTGCTAAAGATAATTATTGATTATCTTAAACCTAAAAATTAAAACATAAACCCAAAGTAGAATGTGGTTTTTTATCGGATACGTTATTTAAACTTTTTTTTACCTAATGTTTGCTGCTTAAATTTTGTATTATTTTCGTACATACCATCAAAATAATTTTATTCTTGTTGTCTGTTAACAGAAGCGATTAATAAATTAGAGATTGTAATAAAAATATATAAGTTTAAATTAAATGTATAGTAAAGAAAATTTAATCAAGTTATAGAATGTTTGAGTATTTAAAAGAAATGTAAAAACAATCTACAGATTGAAAACGTTTTTGACAATTTTCAGCATTGTCAAAAATCAACAATTAACTATCTGACCCAAACCAAAACCAAAATAAATATAAAAAAATACCACTGAGCATAATGATTAGAAGAAAACGAGAAATAATAAACTATTTTAAAGAATAGTCGCAGCTTACCTTTAAAGTAATTTTCAAGTATATGCTTTAAATCCATTCCATCCTTGTCTGTTAACAGAAATATCAATCAAATTAAATATTGATATAAAAATACTAGGCCTAAATAAGTTAAAAGAATATATCAATTACTGTATAGTAAATTATGACAATATAAAGAACACTACAATATAACACTAAATAATACACTAAATAAAAAAATATATATAAAATATGAAAGTAATCAAAAGATTGAAAACATTTTTTTAAATTTCAATATTGATCAATTACTTATTTGTCCTACTTAAGAACAAACTAAATCAAGAAAACACATACCTATTATCTAAGGGGTTTAAACAATTGAAATATTTTTTTGCTATCCGTTTACTAATAGGTTTACAGTTTTTTACGCTGAATAAAAGTTTCTGTTGTAAAAAGAAATATAACTATAAATATTCTACACACTTTTCATTTATTTTTAAAACAATATTAAAATAGTAAAACAAAGTAAATTGAAACATGTTTAACTCAATAAAGTCGTCCACTTTCAACAGCGTAAGATAACTTTAACTTTAGGTTTTCATTATAGAAGAGTTAAGCCACGTCAGTTAATAATTTCAATTTATGTATTACAAAGCTATCTAACAATTAAGGATTATTGAACTCAATTTTGATCGAATATCTACGGGATTTAAACCCGCTTATATAGAGAGACCTCAACATTTTACTGGACTTTGTGAAATCTTTGCCAACTGAGCTATCGGCAAAACGTAACAACTACTGCTCAAAGATAATTATATAATTATTATTTTACATCAAACACAACTTGTAGACGTAACTTGTTATGAATTGTTTGCATTTATTAAAACATATATGATCTTTTGACAGTGTTGGTTTTGTTTTAATTTCATATGCGTATTATCCAGAGGAATAAAACTACCCAAATAGGTTTGGTTAAAATTGATTTTCTTACCTTTTTCACTGCTGATTTTGCCTTTTATCCACTTTAATAAACCGTTATCTTGATATTCTGGAATAGAACAATCAGAAGTCTAAGAATAACTTTCGTCACGTTATTGTAATAAAAACTACTAGGCCCAAATAAGTTTAACAAATATATTAATTGCTGTATAGTGAATGAAGACAATATAAAGAATACTGTGTTAAGTACTATATTAAGAATAACATGTTTAACTCAATAAAGTCATCGACTTCCAACAGCGTAAGATAACTTTAGATTTAGGTTATCCCTCTAGAAGAGTTAAGCCACATTAATTAATGATCTCAATTAATCTATTACAAAGCTATCCCACAATTAAGGATTATTGAACTCAATTTTGATCGAATATCTACGGGATTTAAACCCGCTTATATAGAGAGACCTCAACATTTTACTGGACTTTGTGAAATCTTGGTCATTCCAAACCTATTTATGTCTATAAAATATAACCATGCTTATATTTAAATAGTTCAAAAGTTGACAAAGGTGGTTTAAGATAATTGATTATTTTAAACCTAAAAATTAAAACATAAACCAAAAGTAGAATTTGGTTTTTAACGACTGTTACGTTAATCATTTTTTTTAAATATTGAAAACATTTTTTATAATTTTAGTATTCAACAATTACTTATTTTTCCTACTTGAGAACATACAAAATCAAGAAAACACATACCTATTATGTAAGGGGTTTAAACAATTAACATATTTTTTTGCTATCCGTTTACAGGTTTACTGTTGTGTACGCTGAATAAAAGTTTCTGTTGTAAAAGAAAAACAACTATAATTATCCTACTTACTCTCCATTTATTTTTAAAACAATATCTAAATATCAAACTAAAGTAAATTAAAACATGTTTAACTCAATGATGTCGTTGACTTCCAACAGCGTAAGATAACTTTAAATTTAGGTTATCCCTCTAGAAGAGTTAAGCCACATCAATTAATAATCTCAATTTATAGATGAGTGAACGAATCTATGTATCGTGTATAGCGGAGTCGGAGAAAAGTTGTCCGCTTGTCCGTGTGTGTGTGTGTGTGTGTTTGTGTGCGTGTGTGTGTGTGTGTGTGTGTGTGCGTTCGCACCAAAAACTCAAGAACCGTCGCACTTATAGCGTTCAAATTTTACACAAATAATTATGACACCAGTGGGAAGACACCATTAAAATTCTAGACGATTCCGCTCAGTATTAATTATAAAATACTTAAAAAACATTTTTAAATTTGTCCTATAAGAATAACATTAGTAGATACCTTCTTCTTCTTTTTATTTGTTTACGTTTTGCGACCAACAATTTAGTTGTCTACTTAAGACAGAGAGAACGAATTTTACTCTTTCATTCATGGAGTAAACAGTTTGGCGTATATGAATATATATCATTATAATTTCACAGCTTTCAGAAGTTTGATTTCGGCTAATTAAATTTCACAACATTCAGATTATTAAATTGAACTTAACAATATTAGTCGGCAGTTATATACCGTTTATGTTTAGTATTAAAATTCACCTTTAAATAAAAAAAATTTATGCATGTATTTAGAACAAAGCAGCCTTTTACATTATTCAATTTAATGTTGGCATTGAATATTAAATATTCAAAGATGTTGGTATATCTTTATACTAAAAAGCTATGCGAGGGGGGACAGGTCCACGACGTAGATAGAGGTAAAGGAAGCGGAAAGGTGAGCAGTGAAAAGAAAGGAGTACGGAAACCCTTTATGACTGTTAAATTAATGAATCTGTAATACTTAAATGCTATGGAAATATAGGGAAACAGGTCTACGATGTATAAAGTAGTGAAGTAGTGAAGGAAGTAGTCAAGGCGAGCAGTCCGGAGTGTAGAAACCCTTTGTGACAGTTAGATTAATGTATCTGCAATAATAAAATGCTATGGGAAGGGAGGGAAACAGGTCCACGATCTAAGAAGTTGTGAAGGAAGTAGTCCATGCGAGCAGACCGGAGTGTGGGAAGCCTTTGTGACAATTAGAATCATGAATCTGCAATTCTAAAAATGCTATGGGAAGGGAGGGAAACAGGTCCACGACACGTAGGAAGTAATGAAGGAAGTAGTCAAGGCGAGCCGTCCGGAGTGTAGAAACTCTTGGTGACAGTTAGATTAATGTACCTGCAATACTAAAATGCTATAGGATGGGAGGGAAACAGGTCCACGACGTAGGAAGCGGTGAAGGAAGTAGTCAAGGCGATCCGTCCGGAGTGTAGAAACCCTTTGTGACAGTTAGATTAATGTACCTGCAATACTAAAATGCTATAGGAAGGGAAGGAAACAGGTCCACGACGTAGGAAGTGGTGAAGAAAGTAGTCAAGGCGAGCAGTCCAGAGTGTAGAAACCCTTTGTGACAGTTAGATTAATGTATCTGCAATAATAAAATGCTATGAGAAGAGAGTGAATCAGGTCCACGACGTAGGAAGTAGTGAAGGAAGTAGTCAAGGTGAACAGTCCAGAGTGTGGGAATTCTTTGTGACAGTTAGATTAATGTATTTGCAATTCTAAAATGCTATGGGAAGGGAGGGAAACAGGTCCACGACGTAGGAAGCGGTGAAGGATGTAGTCAAGGTGAGCAGTCCGGAGTGTGAAAGTGGCAACCCTTAGTGAAAGTTAAATTATTCTATTTGAAATTCTAAAATGCTATAGGAAGGGAGGGAAACAGGTCTAAGACGTAGGAAGCGGTGAAGGAAGTAGTCAAGGCGAGCATTCCAGAGTGTGGGAACCCTTTGTGGCAGTTAGATTAATGTACCTGCAATAGCTATGGGAAGGGAGGAAAACATCTCCACGACGTAGGAAGTGATAAAGGAAGTAGTCTTGGTGAGAAATGCGGAGTGTGGGAACCATTTGGTGACAGTTAGATTTATGTATCTGAAATGGAACAGTTGCAATACTAAAATGCTTTGAAAAGGGTGGAAAACAGGTCCATGGCGTAGTAAGTGGCGAAGGAAGTAGTCAAAGCGAGCAGTGCGGAGTGTGGGAACCGATGGTGGCAGTTAGATAAATGCATCTGCAATACCAAAAGGCTATGGGAAGGGAGGAAAACAGGTCCACGTCGTAGGAAGTGGGGAAGGATTTGGTAAACGCGAGAAGTTCTGAGTGTGGGAACAGTTTGTGGTAGTTAGATTAATGTACATTCAATACTAAAATGCTGGGGGAAGGGAGGAAAACAGGTCCACGACGTAGGTATGGCGATGGAAGTGGTAAATTCAATCAGTGCGGAGTGTGGGAACCGTTTATGGCATTTAGATTAATTATTTAGATAAACATTTATTGGGTTTTTAATCATTTTTATATGATAAAATAGCGCTATCGTTGATATAAATTATCATTGTAAGCAATACGACATTTTTTTGGAGATTCCTTACACTGTGCTTTTGCAATTTTAAGTTAGATTAGTTCAGTTTGGCTTAGTTTTGTCTATGATAGGCCTCATAAAAAATATGGAAATAGGTTTTATTTAATCAAAAGAAGTTTTGTACAGGAACGATGGATTTACCTCCTATCGATAACTGTTGGAAATCCATTACGTATATTACCAATGACTTTGGTTAATTAATGGACGAGAAGTTAGGATTGTTGTTGACTGAGATTTGGTTGATTTGCCCATACAAATAACATTATTGTGTTCACCAGTGACACCGGTAAGTAGGCTAGGTGTGGGTGGACTCTTTCATTATTGCGCTCATGTTTACTCATCCCGTTACGCGCAGAATAAGCGTACTACTAGTTTATTACAAAGCTATCCAACAATTAAGGATTATTAAACTCAATTTTGATCGAATATCTACGGGATTTAAAGCCGCATATGTAGAGAGAGAAATACACATTTTACTGGACCGTATAAAGTTTTAGCCAACTGAGCTTCCATGCACCATTCGCAGAACGTAACAACTACTGCTCAAAGATAATTATATATTTATTATTTGACATCAAACATTAAAATGTTTCAAAACCCATTCTAAACATTATTTCATCTACAAAATATATCTATGCTTATATTTAAATAGTTCAAAATTTGAAAAAGGTTGCTCAAAATTATAGATTAGTCCTATTATAAACTTAAAAATATAACATAAAACAAAAGTAGAAATTGTGTTTTTATCGATTGTTACGTTATTTAAATAAATTAATTTTTTTTAAATAATATTCGCTGATTATCTTTTTAATTCTTTTCGTATACTCGTATTATTCCGTAAAAAGTTTGCGTCTTAAAAAGAAAATTTACTATTAATAGTCTTAAATTCTCTATATATTTAAAAACAAATATTTAAATAAGTTTCGAAAGTGATTTAAACCATATTAAACTCAGTAAAGTAGTCGACTTAACATACTACACACCAGGATAAACATTTTCCTGGAATGTGTAGAGTCTTAGCCACCCGAGCTACCATTCACCATTGGCAGAACGTAACAACTACTGCTCAAAGATAATACTATAATTATTTTACATAAAACGCATGTTGTAGACGTATCTTATTATGAATTGTTTGTATTTATTAACACAATATATTACCTTTTTTACAGTAGTGGATTTGTTTTTAATTTCGTGTGCATATTATTTAGCAAATAAAAAACTAACCAAATAGGTTTTCTTACAATTTAATTTCTTACCTTCATCATTGTTCATTTTGACATTTCCCGAACATATTGCACCGCCATCTTGATATCCTGTAATAAAACAATCAGCAGTCTAAGAATAACTTATGTAATGCTAGAAGCTAGTATGAGTTGGATACATGTTTTTATAACTTATATATTAATAATTTTTTAAACCCATTCTTAGTTCATTTACGTCTATAAATATCCATCCTAACATTAAAATAGTTCAAAAATTGATAGAGGTTGCTTAAAATAATAGATTATTTTATAATTAAAAATTAAAACATAAAAAAAGTAGAAATTGGGTTTTCATTGACTGTTACGTTAATGAAATAAATTTAAAAAATATTCACTGCTTAGCTTATGAATTTTTTTCGTATATACCATTCAATTCTGTAAAAGTTTCTGAAGTAAGAATAAATTTTACTATTAACATTCTACGCATTCTCTATCTATTTCAATAAAATATTTAAATAGTTTTCGAAAGAAAATGAAATAATGTTAAACTCGGTAAAGAATCGGCTTTCAAAAGCGTAAGATAACCTTGACATTAGCTTATCCCTCTAGAATAGTTATTTTACAACAAATAATAATCTTAATTATTAATTACAGCTATTCAATACTAAAAAGTTATTTAACTTAATTTTGATTAGATATAAAGGGGATTTGATATTGCGTATGTAGAGAGACCTCAACATTTTACTGGACTGTGTAAAGTCTTAGCCACTTGAGCTACCATGCACAATCGGCAAACCGGAACAACTACTGCTCAAAGAAAACACTTTAATTAATTAATATAAAAGACAAGTAGTAGACGTTTCTTATTATAAATTGTTTTTATTTATATTTCAGGTGCACATTTTTTAGCAATATAAATTAACCCAAATAGGTTTTGTTACGATTTAATTTTTTACCTTCATCATTATTCATTTTGACTTTTTTCCAGCCCATTGAACCACCATCTTCATATCCTGTAATAAAGCAATCAGCAGTCTAAGAATAACTTTCGTGACGGTAGAAAATAGAATGAGTTGGATACATGATTTTATAGATGAAATTTTGATAATTTTTTAAACCTATTCTTAACTTTTTTACGAATATAAAATATATCCATCATTACATTAATATATTTTAAAATTTGAAAAAGGTTGCTGAAATTAATAGATTATTTAAAACTTAAAAATCAAGACAGTAAACAAAAGGAAAAATTGTGTGTTTATCGACTGTTACGTTATTTAAATAAATAAAAAATTTGTAAATAATAGTCGCTGCTTAGCTTTTAAATTCTTTTCGTATATACCATTCCGTAAAAGGTTCCGTCGTAAAAAGAAAATTTCTGTTAATATTCTTAGCATTCTCAATTTGTTATGATTTAATTTTTTACCTTCATCATTGTTCATTTTGTCTTTTTTCCACCCTATTGAATCAACATCCTCACATCCTCCCATTGAACCACCATCTTTATATCCTGTAATAAAACAATCAACAGTCTAAGAATAATTTTCGTCACGGTAGGAAATAGAATGAGTTGGACACAATGATTTTTTAGATGATATTTTGATAATTTTTTAAACCCATTCTTAACTTTTTACGTCTATAAAATATATCCATCCTTACATTAATATAGTTTAAAATATGAAAAAAGTTGCTTAAAATAATAGATTATTCAAAACTTAAAAATCAAAACAATGAATAAAAGTAGAAATTGTGTTTTTATCGACTGTTAAGTTATTTAAATAAATTAAAATTTTTTAAATTATAATATTCGTTGCTTAGCTTTTAAATTGTTTTCGTATATACCATTCCGTAAGAGGTTCCGTCGTAAAAAGAAAATTTACTATTAATATTCTTAGCATTCTCTATCTATTTCAAAAAAATATTTAAATAGTTTTCGAAAGTAATTTTAACCATGTTAAACTCAGTAAAGTAGTCGACTTCCAAAAGCGTAAGATAACCTTAGGCATTAGGTTATCCCTCTAGAAGAGTTAAGCCTCAACAATTAATGATCTCAATTTTTTATTACAAATCCATCTAATAATTAAAAGTTATTAAATTTAATTTTGATTGGATATCAACGGGATTTGATACTGCGTATGTAGAGAGATCTCAACATTTTACTAGGAATGTATATAGTCTTAGCCACCCGAGCTACCATGCACCATTGGCAGAACGTAACAACTACTGCTTAAAGATAATACTATAATTACATTACATAAAACGCAAGTTGTAGACGTATCTAATTATGAAATGTTTGTATTTATTAACACAATATATGACTTTTTTACCGTAGTAGTTTTGTTTTTAATTTCATGTGCATATTATTTAGCAATATAAAAGTACCCAAATAGGTTTTATTAAAATTTAATTTCTTACCTTCATCTTTGTTCATTTTGACTTTTTCCCAACCTCTTACACCGCCATCTTGATATCCTGTAATAAAAAAATCAGCAGTCTAAGAATAACTTATGTAATGCTAGAAGTTAGTACGACTTTGATACATGTTTTTATAAATTATATTTTGATAATTTTTAATAATAGATTATTTTAAACTAAAATACCCCCGCCACAGCAAACCTGCCGACTAAGCGAATTTCCATTTGTCTGAATTGATTTTCAGTTAAATATATTTTAATAACATTAGGTTTAACGAGTACCTAGGTTTGCTGCTACAAGGAAACTAATAAAGTGTGTTTTTGAGTAAAATATTGATAGCTTAGTACAAAATAAATACATTTGCCAAGTTTGATCAAATTATATCCATAAACAAGCAAACTACAACATTTGACAATATTCTCCAAAAGAATAACATGGGAATTTTAAATTTACAATTTTTTTAATTTTCTCCGTTACTAACAATCGAACAAAAATACTTTTATATAATAAATTATTTGTTTTTTTAAGCTCTCTAAAAAAGTCTAAAGAGAAATTGGGAAATTTTGTGTTTTGAGGGTCAAAACCCCCCATAAAGCCCCGTTCCCATGGTCCGATTGTGCTGGTTCGCAAACTCATTCAAGTTTATCCCACTTTACACCTTTAAACCAAATTTCATCAAAATCGGACAAAAATTACTCAAGTTATTGCGTTCGTGGACGTATATATATATATATATATATATATATATATATATATAAGTCTATATGTATATATATATATACATATATAAAAATTTGAAGGAATCGTGTTTTTGGACTCTGGGGACATCAAAATGAAAAAGTAAATCGGTCCTGGGTCTAGGTCTTACCGTGCCACCTACGGTAATAGCTACTTCCCTATAGGGAAATTCGCTAAAATTAAAACATAAAACAAAAGTAGAAATTGGGGTTTAATCGACTGTTACGTTAATTAAATAAGAGTAAAAAAATTTAAAAAATATTCACTGCTTAGCTTTTGAACTCTTTTTGTATATACCATTCCGTAAAAGTTGCTGTCGTAAGAATAAATTTTCATTTTAACATTCTACGCATTCTCTATTTATAAAAAAAAAAAAAATTAAATAGTTTTTGAAAGTAAATGAAACCATGTTAAACTCAGTAAAGTAGTCGGTTTCCAAAAGCGTAAGATAACATTGACATTAGCTTATCCCTCTAGAATAGTTATCCCACAACAAATAATAATCTCAATTTATCTATTAACAGCTATCCAATAATAAAAAGTTATTCAACTTAATGTTGATTTGATATAAACAGGATTTGTTAAGGCGTATGAAGAGAGACCTCAACATTTTACTGGACTGTGTAAAGTCTTAGCCACCTGAGCTACCATGCACAATCGGCAGAACGGGACAACTACTGCTCAAAGATAACACTATAATTCATTACCATAAAACGCAAGTTTTTGACAATTCTTATTATGAATCGTTTTTATTTATTATTTAATTTATATTTCATTTGCATTTTTCTTAGCGATATAAAACTATCCAAATAAGTTTTGTTACGATTTAATTTTTTACCTCCATCATTGTTCATTTGGTCATTTTTCCACCCCATTGAACCACCATCTTCATATCCTGTAATAAAACAATCATCAGGCTAAGAATAACTTTCGTCACGGTAGAAAATAGAATGAGTTAGATACATGATTTTATAGATAGTATAATGATAATTTTTAACTTTTATTAAATTTTTACGCATATAAAATATATCCATCCTTACATTAATATAGTTTAAAATTTGAAAAAGGTTGCTTAAAATAATAGATTATTTAAAACTTAAAAATCAAAACAATAAACAAAAGTAGAAATTGTGTTTTTATCGACTGTTACGTTATTTAAATAAATTAAAATTTTTTTAAATAATATTCGCTGCTTAGCTTTTAAATTTTTTTCGTATATAACATTCCGTAAAAGGTTCCGTCGTAAAAAGACAAATTTTCTATTAATATTCTAAGCATTCTCTATCTATTTCAAAAAAATATTTAAATAGTTTTCGAAAGTAATTTTAACCATGTTAAACTCAGTAAAGTAGTCGACTTCCAAAAGCGTAAGATAACCTTAGGCATTAGGTTATCCCTCTAGAAGAGTTAAGCCTCAACAATTAATGATCTAAATTTTATTATTACAAATCTATTCAATAATTAAAAATTATTGAAATTGAATTTTGATTGCATATCAACGGGATTTGATACTGCGTATGTAGAGAGATCTCAACATTTTACTGGAATGTGTGGAGTCTTAGCCACCCGAGCTACCATGCACCATTGGCAGAACGTAACAACTACTGCTCAAAGATAATACTATAATTATTTTACATAAAACGCAAGTTGTATACGTATCTTATTATAAATTGTTTGTATTTATTAACACAATATATGATTTTTTTACAGTAGTGGTTTTGTTTTTAATTTCATGTGCAGATTAATTAGCAATATAATACATGATTTTATAGATGATATTTTGATAATTTTTCAAACCCATTCTTAACTTTTTTAAGTATATAAAATATATCTATCCTTACATTAATATAGTTTGAAATTTGAAAACGGTTGCTTAAAATAAAAGAATTTTTAGAACTTAAAAATCAAATAAACAAAACTTCATGTTGTTTCTTGTCTCAGGATTACTGTTTTTAGTTTAAACAAAAGACTTAGTTAAATGCAAAAACAAGAGATAAAAAAATGTATTAAGAACAATAAACAGGAAAATAATTTGATTATAAATAAGGCGGACAACGGTAACTCTCTAGTCGCCATGTACAAAAATGATTATAATACTAAGGTTTTAGATTTTATCAACATTAACACAACAATTAACAATAAACAAAACTTCATGTTGTTTCTTGTCTCAGGATTACTGTTTTTAGTTCAAACAAAAGACTCAGTTAAATGCAAAAACAAGAGGTAAAAAAAATGTATTAAGAACAATAAACAGGAAAATAATTTGATTATAAATAAGGCGGACAACGGTAACTCTCTAGTCGCCATGTACAAAAATGATTATAATACTAAGGTTTTAGATTTTATCAACAAAAACAACTTAGAGAGACTCAACAAAGATCCGACAGCCAAGTTTACAAAAACCTTAAATACTGCTCTAAATAAAAGTGTAACACTATTCACCGACACAGAAATCAGGAGATTAAAACCCATCAACGCCAAAGCACCACAACTCAAAGGCCAACCGAAATTGCATAAAGATCAAATTTCCATTCGCCCTCTAGTGAACTACATGCTAGCACCCAGCTACCAAGTCGCTAAAAGCCTAGAAAGGATAATTAAACAACAAATTATTTTACCTAACAGTCATAGCCTAATTAACAGTATTGATTTGATTCACAAAACTAGTACCACTGAATTCAAACCTAGATATACACTGGCATCGCTGGACATAGTTAATTTATACACAAATGTACCCGTGGCATATACAATTCATAGAAGACAGTCTAAAGAGCAATTCTAATCTTTGTGAGGAAGCCATTAATGAACTCATCACATTAACAAAAATAGTAACCCAATAGAACTACTTTACTTTTAACAATGAATATTATATACAAAACGATGGACTAGCAATGGGATCGCCTCTTTTAGGAATCCTAGCTGAAATATATCTGAAAAGTTTCGAAAACAATAACATATAGACTGATAACAACCGCTAAAAAGATAAGATTGAATTTTACTACCGTTATATCGATGACATCGCAATCTTGTATGATGGCAACGTAAGACAACTAGAGATATTTACTAAGTATATAAATATAATAAACCCTAGCCTACAGTTTACCATAGAATTGAAAATCAACGACAGGTTAAACTTTCTTGATATAACATTAATTAAAACAGAAAACTCATTTGAATTTGATATTTATAGAAAACCTACGCTAACCGACAAAACCATACATGCAACTTCACACCATGCCACAAAACAAAAAAATGGCAGCATATAACAGGTTTGTTCACCGGTTGCTCACCGTCCCATTAAGCCAAGATAATTTTAACAAAGAATTAAACACGATCAAATACATTGCCCAATGAGATGGGTTTAAAACCACCACGATTGATAAACTTATCAAAAAACTATTAAAGAAAAAAGCCAATGATAACAGATTAGATAGCCCAATTGACAAAATTTTTGTAACATCAGAGTATGGTACAAGGCTACAGAATATACTGAAAAACGAATTAAAAAATAAAAACATTGGGATAGCGTTTAGGACTTCCAACAAACTACATCGATTACTAAATCCATCGTCCAGTAATAATCTAGAAACACAGGAAAAAACTGGAGTTTACAGATTATCTTGTGATGATTGCAATAGTTTTTATATAGGACAAACCGGCCGTGCTTTCAAAACCAGATTCAAAGAACACCTCCCAAAAGCAAAAAAAATCATTTAAAATCCAATTATGCAGCCCATCTGATTAATGAAAATCATAACTATACAAATTTTGAAACAAACCCCTACATTTTTGCACAAAAGGAAGCTTCATGAACGCCATAGAAGAATACGAGATATACAAAGCAACGAAAGGCCATAGTAATGATCTATTAAACGACAAACTAAAGTTCCAGTCAAATGCATTGTATGATACTGTAATAGCTAACCAGGAACAGCTGACCGGCAAGGGACAAAGTTCGCGACACCAACCTTCACCGCTGCAGTCATAACAAACCTGTCCAAGTGCGCGCACGCGGTTCGTAGGCCTACTTATTTTTCGTATGTATGTTTGTAAAAATTATATTTATTTTACGACCTCTGATGAGTGATAAGTGTTCTTGAAGACCTGATGATGAAGCTATTAATGCTTCGAAACGCGTAGTCTCGACAGACAGCCTTTGGATTACTCTGGCAGATCCAGGTAACATTATACCTTTTATAATCTAATAAACAAAAGTAGAAATTGTGTTTTTATCGACTGTTACGTTATTTAAATAAATTAATTTTTTTAAATAATATTCGCTGCTTAGCTTTTAAATTCTTTTCGTATATACCATTCCGTAAAAGGTTCCGTCGTAAAAAGACAAATTTTCTATTAATATTCTAAGCATTCTCTATCTATTTCAAAAACATATTTAAATAGTTTTCGAAAGTAATTTTAACCATGTTAAACTCAGTGAAGTAGTCGACTTCCAAATGCGTAAGATAACCTTAGGCATTTGGTTATCCCTCTAGAAGAGTTAAGCCTCAACAATTAATGATCTAAATTTTATTATTACAAATCTATTCAATAATTAAAAATTATTGAAATTGAATTTTGATTGCATATCAACGGGATTTGATACTGCGTATGTAGAGAGATCTCAACATTTTACTGGAATGTGTGGAGTCTTAGCCACCCGAGCTACCATGCACCATTGGCAGAACGAAACAACTACTGCCCAAAGATAATACTATAATTATTTTACATAAAACGCAAGTTGTAGACGTATCTTATCATGAAATGTTTGTATTTATTAACAGAATAGATGACCTCTTTTACAGTAGTGGTTTTGTTTTTAATTTCATGTGCATATTAATTAGCAATATAAAACTAACCAAATAGGTTTTCTTACAATTTAATTTCTTACCTTCTTCATTGTTCATTTTTCCTCTTGTCCATCCATCAGCGATATCTTGATATCATGTAATAAAACAATCAGAAGTCTAAGAATAACTTATGTAACGCTATAAGCTAGTATAAGTTAGATATATGTTTTTATAAATTATATTTTGATAATTTTTTAAACCCATTCTTAGATCCTTTACGTCTATAAAATATATCCATTTATACATAAAAAAAGTTCAAAAATTAATAAATGTTGCTTAAAATAATACATTATTTTAAACTTAAAAATTAAAACATAAACTAAAAGTAGAAATTTGGTTTTTATCGACTGTTTCGTTAATTAAAAAAATTTGAAAAATTTAAAAAATATTCACTGTTAGCTTTTGTATTATTTTGGAAAAAAAATTCCTTAAAATTTTCTGTCGTAAGCATAAATTTTCCTTTTAACATTCTACGCATTCTCTATCTATTTAAAAAAAATTATATATATACTTAAATAGTTTTCGAAAGTAAATAAAACCATGTTAAACTCAGTAAAGTAGTCGGCATCCAAAAGTGTAAGATAACCTTGACATTAGCTTATCCCTCTAGAATAGTTATCCCACAACAAATAATAATCTCAATTTATCTATTAACAGCTATCCAATAATAAAAAGTTATTTAACTTAATTTTGATTAGATATACACGGGATTTGATACTATGTATGCAGAGAGACCTCAACATTTTACTGGACTGTGTAAAGTCTTAGCCACCTGAGCTACCATGCACAATCGGCAGAACAGGACACCTACTGCTCAAAGATAACACTATAATTAATTACCATAAAAGGCAAGTTTTTGACGTTTCTTATTATGAATTGTTTTTATTTATTATTTTATTTATATTTCATGTGCATATTTCTTAGCGATATAAAACTACCCAAATAAGTTTTTTTACGATTTAATTTTTTACCTTCATCACTGTTCATTTTGTCTTTTTTCCACCCCTTTGAACCACCATCTTCATATCCTGTAATAAAACAATCAGCAGTCTAAAAATAACTTTCGTCATGGAAGGAAATAGAATGAGTTGGATACATGATTTTATAGATGATATTATGATAATTTTTTTAACCCATTCTTAACTTTTTACGTCTATAAAATATATCCATCCGTACATTAATATAGTTTAAAATATGAAAAAGATTGCTTAAAATAATAGTTTATTTAATACTTAAAAATCAAAACAATAAACAAAAGTAGAAATTGTGTTTTTATCGACTGTTACGTTATTTAAATAAATTAATTTTTTTAAATAATAATATTCGCTGCTTAGCTTTTAAATTGTTTTCGTATATAACATTCCGTAAAAGGTTTCGTCGTAAAAAGACAAATTTTCTATTAATATTCTAAGCATTCTCTATCTATTTCAAAAACATATTTAAATAGTTTTCGAAAGTAATTTTAACCATGTTAAACTCAGTGAAGTAGTCGACTTCCAAATGCGTAAGATAACCTTAGGCATTTGGTTATCCCTCTAGAAGAGTTAAGCCTCAACAATTAATGATCTAAATTTTATTATTACAAATCTATTCAATAATTAAAAATTATTGAAATTGAATTTTGATTGCATATCAACGGGATTTGATACTGCGTATGTAGAGAGATCTCAACATTTTACTGGAATGTGTGGAGTCTTAGCCACCCGAGCTACCATGCACCATTGGCAGAACGAAACAACTACTGCCCAAAGATAATACTATAATTATTTTACATAAAACGCAAGTTGTAGACGTATCTTATCATGAAATGTTTGTATTTATTAACAGAATAGATGACCTCTTTTACAGTAGTGGTTTTGTTTTTAATTTCATGTGCATATTAATTAGCAATATAAAACTAACCAAATAGGTTTTCTTACAATTTAATTTCTTACCTTCTTCATTGTTCATTTTTCCTCTTGTCCATCCATCAGCGATATCTTGATATCATGTAATAAAACAATCAGAAGTCTAAGAATAACTTATGTAACGCTATAAGCTAGTATAAGTTAGATACATGTTTTTATAAATTATATTTTGATAATTTTTTAAACCCATTCTTAGATCCTTTACGTCTATAAAATATATCCATTTATACATAAAAAAAGTTCAAAAATTAATAAATGTTGCTTAAAATAATACATTATTTTAAACTTAAAAATTAAAACATAAACTAAAAGTAGAAATTTGGTTTTTATCGACTGTTTCGTTAATTAAAAAAATTTGAAAAATTTAAAAAATATTCACTGTTAGCTTTTGTATTATTTTGGAAAAAAAATTCCTTAAAATTTTCTGTCGTAAGCATAAATTTTCCTTTTAACATTCTACGCATTCTCTATCTATTTAAAAAAATATATATATATACTTAAATAGTTTTCGAAAGTAAATAAAACCATGTTAAACTCAGTAAAGTAGTCGGCATCCAAAAGTGTAAGATAACCTTGACATTAGCTTATCCCTCTAGAATAGTTATCCCACAACAAATAATAATCTCAATTTATCTATTAACAGCTATCCAATAATAAAAAGTTATTTAACTTAATTTTGATTAGATATACACGGGATTTGATACTATGTATGCAGAGAGACCTCAACATTTTACTGGACTGTGTAAAGTCTTAGCCACCTGAGCTACCATGCACAATCGGCAGAACAGGACACCTACTGCTCAAAGATAACACTATAATTAATTACCATAAAAGGCAAGTTTTTGACGTTTCTTATTATGAATTGTTTTTATTTATTATTTTATTTATATTTCATGTGCATATTTCTTAGCGATATAAAACTACCGAAATGAGTTTTTTTACGATTTAATTTTTTACCTTCATCACTGTTCATTTTGTATTTTTTCCACCCCTTTGAACCACCATCTTCATATCCTGTAATAAAACAATCAGCAGTCTAAAAATAACTTTCGTCATGGAAGGAAATAGAATGAGTTGGATACATGATTTTATAGATGATATTATGATAATTTTTTTAACCCATTCTTAACTTTTTACGTCTATAAAATATATCCATCCGTACATTAATATAGTTTAAAATATGAAAAAGATTGCTTAAAATAATAGTTTATTTAATACTTAAAAATCAAAACAATAAACAAAAGTAGATATTGTGTTTTTATCGACTGTTACGTTATTTAAATAAATTAATTTTTTTAAATAATAATATTCGCTGCTTAGCTTTTAAATTGTTTTCGTATATAACATTCCGTAAAAGGTTCCGTCGTAAAAAGACAAATTTTCTATTAATATTCTAAGCATTCTCTATCTATTTCAAAAAAATATTTAAATAGTTTTCGAAAGTAATTTTAACCATGTTAAACTCAGTGAAGTAGTCGACTTCCAAATGCGTAAGATAACCTTAGGCATTTGGTTATCCCTCTAGAAGAGTTAAGCCTCAACAATTAATGATCTAAATTTTATTATTACAAATCTATTCAATAATTAAAAATTATTGAAATTGAATTTTGATTGCATATCAACGGGATTTGATACTGCGTATGTAGAGAGATCTCAACATTTTACTGGAATGTGTGGAGTCTTAGCCACCCGAGCTACCATGCACCATTGGCAGAACGAAACAACTACTGCCCAAAGATAATACTATAATTATTTTACATAAAACGCAAGTTGTAGACGTATCTTATCATGAAATGTTTGTATTTATTAACAGAATAGATGACCTCTTTTACAGTAGTGGTTTTGTTTTTAATTTCATGTGCATATTAATTAGCAATATAAAACTAACCAAATAGGTTTTCTTACAATTTAATTTCTTACCTTCTTCATTGTTCATTTTTCCTCTTGTCCATCCATCAGCGATATCTTGATATCATGTAATAAAACAATCAGAAGTCTAAGAATAACTTATGTAACGCTATAAGCTAGTATAAGTTAGATACATGTTTTTATAAATTATATTTTGATAATTTTTTAAACCCATTCTTAGATCCTTTACGTCTATAAAATATATCCATTTATACATAAAAAAAGTTCAAAAATTAATAAATGTTGCTTAAAATAATACATTATTTTAAACTTAAAAATTAAAACATAAACTAAAAGTAGAAATTTGGTTTTTATCGACTGTTTCGTTAATTAAAAAAATTTGAAAAATTTAAAAAATATTCACTGTTAGCTTTTGTATTATTTTGGAAAAAAATTCCTTAAAATTTTCTGTCGTAAGCATAAATTTTCCTTTTAACATTCTACGCATTCTCTATCTATTTAAAAAAAAAAATATATATACTTGAATAGTTTTCGAAAGTAAATAAAACCATGTTAAACTCAGTAAAGTAGTCGGCATCCAAAAGTGTAAGATAACCTTGACATTAGCTTATCCCTCTAGAATAGTTATCCCACAACAAATAATAATCTCAATTTATCTATTAACAGCTATCCAATAATAAAAAGTTATTTAACTTAATTTTGATTAGATATACACGGGATTTGATACTATGTATGCAGAGAGACCTCAACATTTTACTGGACTGTGTAAAGTCTTAGCCACCTGAGCTACCATGCACAATCGGCAGAACAGGACACCTACTGCTCAAAGATAACACTATAATTAATTACCATAAAAGGCAAGTTTTTGACGTTTCTTATTATGAATTGTTTTTATTTATTATTTTATTTATATTTCATGTGCATATTTCTTAGCGATATAAAACTACCCAAATAAGTTTTTTTACGATTTAATTTTTTACCTTCATCACTGTTCATTTTGTCTTTTTTCCACCCCTTTGAACCACCATCTTCATATCCTGTAATAAAACAATCAGCAGTCTAAAAATAACTTTCGTCATGGAAGGAAATAGAATGAGTTGGATACATGATTTTATAGATGATATTATGATAATTTTTTTAACCCATTCTTAACTTTTTACGTCTATAAAATATATCCATCCGTACATAAATATAGTTTAAAATATGAAAAAGATTGCTTAAAATAATAGTTTATTTAAAACTTAAAAATCAAAACAATAAACAAAAGTAGAAATTGTGTTTTTATCGAGTGTTACGTTATTTAAATAAACTAAATTTTTTTAAATAATAATATTCGCTGCTTAGCTTTTAAATTGTTTTCGTATATAACATTCCGTAAAAGGTTCCGTCGTAAAAAGACAAATTTTCTATTAATATTCTAAGCATTCTCTATCTATTTCAAAAAAATATTTAAATAGTTTTCGAAAGTAATTTTAACCATGTTAAACTCAGTAAAGTAGTCGACTTCCAAAAGCGTAAGATAACCTTAGGCATTAGGTTATCCCTCTAGAAGAGTTAAGCCTCAACAATTAATGATCTAAATTTTATTATTACAAATCTATTCAATAATTAAAAATTATTGAAATTGAATTTTGATTGCATATCAACGGGATTTGATACTGCGTATGTAGAGAGATCTCAACATTTTACTGGAATGTGTGGAGTCTTAGCCACCCGAGCTACCATGCACCATTGGCAGAACGAACAACTACTGCCCAAAGATAATACTATAATTATTTTACATAAAACGCAAGTTGTAGACGTATCTTATTATGAAATGTTTGTATTTATTAACAGAATAGATGACCTCTTTTACAGTAGTGGTTTTGTTTTTAATTTCATGTGCATATTAATTAGCAATATAAAACTAACCAAATAGGTTTTCTTACAATTTAATTTCTTACCTTCTTCATTGTTTATTTTGCCTCTTGTCCATCCATCAGCGATATCTTGATATCATGTAATAAAACAATCAGAAGTCTAAGAATAACTTATGTAACGCTATAAGCTAGTATAAGTTAGATACATGTTTTTATAAATTATATTTTGATAATTTTATAAACCCATTCTTAGATCCTTTACGTCTATAAAATATATCCATTTATACATAAAAAAAGTTCAAAAATTAATAAATGTTGCTTAAAATAATAGATTATTTTAAACTTAAAAATTAAAACATAAACTAAAAGTAGAAATTTGGTTTTTATCGACTGTTTCGTTAATTAAAAAAAATTGAAAAATTTGAAAAATATTCACTGTTAGCTTTTGTATTATTTTGGAAAAAAAAATCCTTAAAATTTTCTGTCGTAAGCATAAATTTTACTTTTAACATTCTACGCATTCTCTATCTATTTAAAAAAAATATATATATATACTTAAATAGTTTTCGAAAGTAAATAAAACCATGTTAAACTCAGTAAAGTAGTCGGCATCCAAAAGTGTAAGGTAACCTTGACATTAGCTTATCCCTCTAGAATAGTTATCCCACAACAAATAATAATCTCAATTTATCTATTAACAGCTATCCAATAATAAAAAGTTATTTAACTTAATTTTGATTAGATATACACGGGATTTGATACTATGTATGCAGAGAGACCTCAACATTTTACTGGACTGTGTAAAGTCTTAGCCACCTGAGCTACCATGCACAATCGGCAGAACAGGACACCTACTGCTCAAAGATAACACAATAATTAATTACCATAAAAGGCAAGTTTTTGACGTTTCTTATTATGAATTGTTTTTATTTATTATTTTATTTATATTTCATGTGCATATTTCTTAGCGATATAAAACTACCCAAATGAGTTTTTTTACGATTTAATTTTTTACCTTCATCACTGTTCATTTTGTCTTTTTTCCACCCCTTTGAACCACCATCTTCATATCCTGTAATAAAACAATCAGCAGTCTAAAAATAACTTTCGTCATGGAAGGAAATAGAATGAGTTGGATACATGATTTTATAGATGATATTATGATAATTTTTTTAACCCATTCTTAACTTTTTACGTCTATAAAATATATCCATCCGTACATTAATATAGTTTAAAATATGAAAAAGATTGCTTAAAATAATAGTTTATTTAAAACTTAAAAATCAAAACAATAAACAAAAGTAGAAATTGAGTTTTTATCGAGTGTTACGTTATTTAAATAAATTAAATTTTTTTAAATAATAATATTCGCTGCTTAGCTTTTAAATTGTTTTCGTATATAACATTCCGTAAAAGGTTCCGTCGTAAAAAGACAAATTTTCTATTAATATTCTAAGCATTCTCTATCTATTTCAAAAAAATATTTAAATAGTTTTCGAAAGTAATTTTAACCATGTTAAACTCAGTAAAGTAGTCGACTTCCAAAAGCGTAAGATAACCTTAGGCATTAGGTTATCCCTCTAGAAGAGTTAGGCCTCAACAATTAATGATCTAAATTTTATTATTACAAATCTATTCAATAATTAAAAATTATTGAAATTGAATTTTGATTGCATATCAACGGGATTTGATACTGCGTATGTAGAGATATCTCAACATTTTACTGGAATGTGTGGAGTCTTAGCCACCCGAGCTACCATGCACCATTGGCAGAACGAAACAACTACTGTCCAAAGATAATACTATAATTATTTTACATAAAACGCAAGTTGTAGACGTATCTTATTATGAAATGTTTGTATTTATTAACAGAATAGATGACCTCTTTTACAGTAGTGGTTTTGTTTTTAATTTCATGTGCATATTAATTAGCAATATAAAACTAACCAAATAGGTTTTCTTACAATTTAATTTCTTACCTTCTTCATTGTTCATTTTGCCTCTTGTCCATCCATCAGCGATATCTTGATATCATGTAATAAAACAATCAGAAGTCTAAGAATAACTTATGTAACGCTATAAGCTAGTATAAGTTAGATACATGTTTTTATAAATTATATTTTGATAATTTTTTAAACCCATTCTTAGATCCTTTACGTCTATAAAATATATCCATTTATACATAAAAAAAGTTCAAAAATTAATAAATGTTGCTTAAAATAATAGATTATTTTAAACTTAAAAATTAAAACATAAACTAAAAGTAGAAATTTGGTTTTTATCGACTGTTTCGTTAATTAAAAAAATTTGAAAAATTTGAAAAATATTCACTGTTAGCTTTTGTATTATTTTGGAAAAAAAAATCCTAAAAATTTTCTGTCGTAAGCATAAATTTTACTTTTAACATTCTACGCATTCTCTATCTATTTAAAAAAATATATAAATACTTAAATAGTTTTCGAAAGTAAATAAAACCATGTTAAACTCAGTAAAGTAGTCGGCATCCAAAAGTGTAAGATAACCTTGACATTAGCTTATCCCTCTAGAATAGTTATCCCACAAATAATAATAATCTCAATTTATCTATTAACAGCTATCCAATAATAAAAAGTTATTTAACTTAATTTTGATTAGATATACACGGGATTTGATACTATGTATGCAGAGAGACCTCAACATTTTACTGGACTGTGTAAAGTCTTAGCCACCTGAGCTACCATGCACAATCGGCAGAACAGGACACCTACTGCTCAAAGATAACACTATAATTAATTACCATAAAAGGCAAGTTTTTGACGTTTCTTATTATGAATTGTTTTTATTTATTATTTTATTTATATTTCATGTGCATATTTCTTAGCGATATAAAACTACCCAAATAAGTTTTTTTACGATTTAATTTTTTACCTTCATCACTGTTCATTTTGTCTTTTTTCCACCCCTTTGAACCACCATCTTCATATCCTGTAATAAAACAATCAGCAGTCTAAAAATAACTTTCGTCATGGAAGGAAATAGAATGAGTTGGATACATGATTTTATAGATGATATTATGATAATTTTTTTAACCCATTCTTAACTTTTTACGTCTATAAAATATATCCATTCGTACATTAATATAGTTTAAAATATGAAAAATATTGCTTAAAATAATAGTTTATTTAAAACTTAAAAATCAAAACAATAAACAAAAGTAGAAATTGTGTTTTTATCGAGTGTTACGTTATTTAAATAAATTAAATTTTTTTATATAATAATATTCGCTGCTTAGCTTTTAAATTGTTTTCGTATATAACATTCCGTAAAAGGTTCCGTCGTAAAAAGACAAATTTTCTATTAATATTCTAAGCATTCTCTATCTATTTCAAAAAAAAATATTTAAATAGTTTTCGAAAGTAATTTTAACCATGTTAAACTCAGTAAAGTAGTCGACTTCCAAAAGCGTAAGATAACCTTAGGCATTAGGTTATCCCTCTAGAAGAGTTAAGCCTCAACAATTAATGATCTAAATTTTATTATAACAAATCTATTCAATAATTAAAAATTATTGAAATTGAATTTTGATTGCATATCAACGGGATTTGATACTGCGTATGTAGAGAGATCTCAACATTTTACTGGAATGTGTGGAGTCTTAGCCACCCGAGCTACCATGCACCATTGGCAGAACGAAACAACTACTGCCCAAAGATAATACTATAATTATTTTACATAAAACGCAAGTTGTAGACGTATCTTATTATGAAATGTTTGTATTTATTAACAGAATAGATGACCTCTTTTACAGTAGTGGTTTTGTTTTTAATTTCATGTGCATATTAATTAGCAATATAAAACTAACCAAATAGGTTTTCTTACAATTTAATTTCTTACCTTCTTCATTGTTCATTTTGCCTCTTGTCCATCCATCAGCGATATCTTGATATCATGTAATAAAACAATCAGAAGTCTAAGAATAACTTATGTAACGCTATAAGCTAGTATAAGTTAGATACATGTTTTTATAAATTATATTTTGATAATTTTTTAAACCCATTCTTAGATCCTTTACGTCTATAAAATATATCCATTTATACATAAAAAAAGTTCAAAAATTAATAAATGTTGCTTAAAATAATAGATTATTTTAAACTTAAAAATTAAAACATAAACTAAAAGTAGAAATTTGGTTTTTATCGACTGTTTCGTTAATTAAAAAAAAATTGAAAAATTTGAAAAATATTCACTGTTAGCTTTTGTATTATTTTGGAAAAAAAAATTCCTTAAAATTTTCTGTCGTAAGCATAAATTTTACTTTTAACATTCTACGCATTCTCTATCTATTTAAAAAAAATATATATATATACTTAAATAGTTTTCGAAAGTAAATAAAACCATGTTAAACTCAGTAAAGTAGTCGGCATCCAAAAGTGTAAGATAACCTTGACATTAGCTTATCCCTCTAGAATAGTTATCCCACAACAAATAATAATCTCAATTTATCTATTAACAGCTATCCAATAATAAAAAGTTATTTAACTTAATTTTGATTAGATATACACGGGATTTGATACTATGTATGCAGAGAGACCTCAACATTTTACTGGACTGTGTAAAGTCTTAGCCACCTGAGCTACCATGCACAATCGGCAGAACAGGACACCTACTGCTCAAAGATAACACAATAATTAATTACCATAAAAGGCAAGTTTTTGACGTTTCTTATTATGAATTGTTTTTATTTATTATTTTATTTATATTTCATGTGCATATTTCTTAGCGATATAAAACTACCCAAATGAGTTTTTTTACGATTTAATTTTTTACCTTCATCACTGTTCATTTTGTCTTTTTTCCATCCCTTTGAACCACCATCTTCATATCCTGTAATAAAACAATCAGCAGTCTAAAAATAACTTTCGTCATGGAAGGAAATAGAATGAGTTGGATACATGATTTTATAGATGATATTATGATAATTTTTTTAACCCATTCTTAACTTTTTACGTCTATAAAATATATCCATCCGTACATTAATATAGTTTAAAATATGAAAAAGATTGCTTAAAATAATAGTTTATTTAAAACTTAAAAATCAAAACAATAAACAAAAGTAGAAATTGAGTTTTTATCGAGTGTTACGTTATTTAAATAAATTAAATTTTTTTAAATAATAATATTCGCTGCTTAGCTTTTAAATTGTTTTCGTATATAACATTCCGTAAAAGGTTCCGTCGTAAAAAGACAAATTTTCTATTAATATTCTAAGCATTCTCTATCTATTTCAAAAAAATATTTAAATAGTTTTCGAAAGTAATTTTAACCATGTTAAACTCAGTAAAGTAGTCGACTTCCAAAAGCGTAAGATAACCTTAGGCATTAGGTTATCCCTCTAGAAGAGTTAGGCCTCAACAATTAATGATCTAAATTTTATTATTACAAATCCATTCAATAATTAAAAATTATTGAAATTGAATTTTGATTGCATATCAACGGGATTTGATACTGCGTATGTAGAGATATCTCAACATTTTACTGGAATGTGTGGAGTCTTAGCCACCCGAGCTACCATGCACCATTGGCAGAACGAAACAACTACTGTCCAAAGATAATACTATAATTATTTTACATAAAACGCAAGTTGTAGACGTATCTTATTATGAAATGTTTGTATTTATTAACAGAATAGATGACCTCTTTTACAGTAGTGGTTTTGTTTTTAATTTCATGTGCATATTAATTAGCAATATAAAACTAACCAAATAGGTTTTCTTACAATTTAATTTCTTACCTTCTTCATTGTTCATTTTGCCTCTTGTCCATCCATCAGCGATATCTTGATATCATGTAATAAAACAATCAGAAGTCTAAGAATAACTTATGTAACGCTATAAGCTAGTATAAGTTAGATACATGTTTTTATAAATTATATTTTGATAATTTTTTAAACCCATTCTTAGATCCTTTACGTCTATAAAATATATCCATTTATACATAAAAAAAGTTCAAAAATTAATAAATGTTGCTTAAAATAATAGATTATTTTAAACTTAAAAATTAAAACATAAACTAAAAGTAGAAATTTGGTTTTTATCGACTGTTTCGTTAATTAAAAAAAATTTGAAAAATTTGAAAAATATTCACTGTTAGCTTTTGTATTATTTTGGAAAAAAAAATCCTAAAAATTTTCTGTCGTAAGCATAAATTTTACTTTTAACATTCTACGCATTCTCTATCTATTTAAAAAAATATATATATATACTTAAATAGTTTTCGAAAGTAAATAAAACCATGTTAAACTCAGTAAAGTAGTCGGCATCCAAAAGTGTAAGATAACCTTGACATTAGCTTATCCCTCTAGAATAGTTATCCCACAACAAATAATAATCTCAATTTATCTATTAACAGCTATCCAATAATAAAAAGTTATTTAACTTAATTTTGATTAGATATACACGGGATTTGATACTATGTATGCAGAGAGACCTCAACATTTTACTGGACTGTGTAAAGTCTTAGCCACCTGAGCTACCATGCACAATCGGCAGAACAGGACACCTACTGCTCAAAGATAACACTATAATTAATTACCATAAAAGGCAAGTTTTTGACGTTTCTTATTATGAATTGTTTTTATTTATTATTTTATTTATATTTCATGTGCATATTTCTTAGCGATATAAAACTACCGAAATGAGTTTTTTTACGATTTAATTTTTTACCTTCATCACTGTTCATTTTGTATTTTTTCCACCCCTTTGAACCACCATCTTCATATCCTGTAATAAAACAATCAGCAGTCTAAAAATAACTTTCGTCATGGAAGGAAATAGAATGAGTTGGATACATGATTTTATAGATGATATTATGATAATTTTTTTAACCCATTCTTAACTTTTTACGTCTATAAAATATATCCATTCGTACATTAATATAGTTTAAAATATGAAAAATATTGCTTAAAATAATAGTTTATTTAAAACTTAAAAATCAAAACAATAAACAAAAGTAGAAATTGTGTTTTTATCGAGTGTTACGTTATTTAAATAAATTAAATTTTTTTATATAATAATATTCGCTGCTTAGCTTTTAAATTGTTTTCGTATATAACATTCCGTAAAAGGTTCCGTCGTAAAAAGACAAATTTTCTATTATTATTCTAAGCATTCTCTATCTATTTCAAACAAATATTTAAATAGTTTTCGAAAGTAATTTTAACCATGTTAAACTCAGTAAGGTAGTCGACTTCCAAAAGCGTAAGATAACCTTAGGCATTAGGTTATCCCTCTAGAAGAGTTAAGCCTCAACAAATAATGATCTAAATTTTATTATTACAAATCTATTCAATAATTAAAAATTATTGAAATTGAATTTTGATTGCATATCAACGGGATTTGATACTGCGTATGTAGAGAGATCTCAACATTTTACTGGAATGTGTGGAGTCTTAGCCACCCGAGCTACCATGCACCATTGGCAGAACGAAACAACTACTGCCCAAAGATAATACTATAATTATTTTACATAAAACGCAAGTTGTAGACGTATCTTATTATGAAATGTTTGTATTTATTAACAGAATAGATGACCTCTTTTACAGTAGTGGTTTTGTTTTTAATTTCATGTGCATATTAATTAGCAATATAAAACTAACCAAATAGGTTTTCTTACAATTTAATTTCTTACCTTCTTCATTGTTCATTTTGCCTCTTGTCCATCCATCAGCGATATCTTGATATCATGTAATAAAACAATCAGAAGTCTAAGAATAACTTATGTAACGCTATAAGCTAGTATAAGTTAGATACATGTTTTTATAAATTATATTTTGATAATTTTTTAAACCCATTCTTAGATCCTTTACGTCTATAAAATATATCCATTTATACATAAAAAAAGTTCAAAAATTAATAAATGTTGCTTAAAATAATAGATTATTTTAAACTTAAAAATTAAAACATAAACTAAAAGTAGAAATTTGGTTTTTATCGACTGTTTCGTTAATTAAAAAAATTTGAAAAATTTGAAAAATATTCACTGTTAGCTTTTGTATTATTTTGGAAAGAAAATCCTTAAAATTTTCTGTCGTAAGCATAAATTTTACTTTTAACATTCTACGCATTCTCTATCTATTTAAAAAAATATATATATATACTTAAATAGTTTTCGAAAGTAAATAAAACCATGTTAAACTCAGTAAAGTAGTCGGCATCCAAAAGTGTAAGATAACCTTGACATTAGCTTATCCCTCTAGAATAGTTATCCCACAACAAATAATAATCTCAATTTATCTATTAACAGCTATCCAATAATAAAAAGTTATTTAACTTAATTTTGATTAGATATACACGGGATTTGATACTATGTATGCAGAGAGACCTCAACATTTTACTGGACTGTGTAAAGTCTTAGCCACCTGAGCTACCATGCACAATCGGCAGAACAGGACACCTACTGCTCAAAGATAACACTATAATTAATTACCATAAAAGGCAAGTTTTTGACGTTTCTTATTATGAATTGTTTTTATTTATTATTTTATTTATATTTCATGTGCATATTTCTTAGCGATATAAAACTACCGAAATGAGTTTTTTTACGATTTAATTTTTTACCTTCATCACTGTTCATTTTGTATTTTTTCCACCCCTTTGAACCACCATCTTCATATCCTGTAATAAAACAATCAGCAGTCTAAAAATAAATTTCGAAATGGAAGGAAATAGAATGAGTTGGATACATGATTTTATAGATGATATTATGATAATTTTTTTAACCCATTCTTAACTTTTTACGTCTATAAAATATATCCATCCGTACATAAATATAGTTTAAAATATGAAAAAGATTGCTTAAAATAATAGTTTATTTAAAACTTAAAAATCAAAACAATAAACAAAAGTAGAAATTGTGTTTTTATCGAGTGTTACGTTATTTAAATAAATTAAATTTTTTTAAATAATAATATTCGCAGCTTAGCTTTTAAATTGTTTTCGTATATAACATTCCGTAAAAGGTTCCGTCGTAAAAAGACAAATTTTCTATTAATATTCTAAGCATTCTCTATCTATTTCAAAAAAATATTTAAATAGTTTTCGAAAGTAATTTTAACCATGTTAAACTCAGTAAGGTAGTCGACTTCCAAAAGCGTAAGATAACCTTAGGCATTAGGTTATCCCTCTAGAAGAGTTAAGCCTCAACAAATAATGATCTAAATTTTATTATTACAAATCTATTCAATAATTAAAAATTATTGAAATTGAATTTTGATTGAATATCAACGGGATTTGATACTGCGTATGTAGAGAGATCTCAACATTTTACTGGAATGTGTGGAGTCTTAGCCACCCGAGCTACCATGCACCATTGGCAGAACGAAACAACTACTGCCCAAAGATAATACTATAATTATTTTACATAAAACGCAAGTTGTAGACGTATCTTATAATGAAATGTTTGTATTTATTAACAGAATAGATGACCTCTTTTACAGTAGTGGTTTTGTTTTTAATTTCATGTGCATATTAATTAGCAATATAAAACTAACCAAATAGGTTTTCTTACAATTTAATTTCTTACCTTCTTCATTGTTCATTTTGCCTCTTGTCCATCCATCAGCGATATCTTGATATCATGTAATAAAACAATCAGAAGTCTAAGAATAACTTATGTAACGCTATAAGCTAGTATAAGTTAGATACATGTTTTTATAAATTATATTTTGATAATTTTTTAAACCCATTCTTAGATCCTTTACGTCTATAAAATATATCCATTTATACATAAAAAAAGTTCAAAAATTAATAAATGTTGCTTAAAATAATAGATTATTTTAAACTTAAAAATTAAAACATAAACTAAAAGTAGAAATTTGGTTTTTATCG